CGAGTTATAGGGAAGATGCAAACATTTTTCCAGAGCAAGCAATGTGAACTTCTTTGGAACGATGCAGATGTTATTCATCATGAGTTATGCGGCACTTCCGAAAGGAATTTTGGTGTATTTTTGATTAAAAAAGAAAGGCAGTATGGTGTTTGATCATTGATTATGGGCACTTCCGACTGGAATTTTGGGGTATTTTCAATTGTGCGTTATAGGGAAGAGGCAAACATTTTTCCAGAGCAAGCAATGTGAACGTCTTTGGAGCGATGCAGATGTCATTCAACATAGGTTATGGTGCACTTCTGAAAGGAATTTTGGTGTATTTTTTATTGACAAAGAAAGGCAGTATGGTGTTTGATAATTGATTATGGGCACTTCCGACTGGAATTTTGGAGTATTTTCAATTGTGCGTTATAGGGAAGACGCCAACATTTTTCACACCAAGCAATGTGAACTTCTTTGGAACGATGCAGATGTTATTCATCATGAGTTATGCGGCTTTTCCGAAAGGAATTTTGGTGTATTTTTGATTGACAAAGAAAGGCAGTATGGTGTTTGATCATTGATTATGGGCACTTCCGACTGGAATTTTGGAGTATTTCAATTGCGAGTTATAGGGGAGATGCAAACTTTTTTCCAGAGCAAGCAATTTGAACTTCTTTTGAAGGATGCAGATGTTATTCAACATAGGTCTTGGTGCACTTCCGATAGGAAATTTGGTGTATTTTTGATTGACAAAGAAAGCCAGTATGGTGTTTAATCATTGATTACGAAGCACTTCCGACTGGAATTTTGCAGTATTTTCAATTGTGACTTGTAGGGAAGATGCAAGCATTTTTTCCAAAGAAAGCAATATGAACTTCTTTAGAACGATGCTAATGTTATTCAACATAGGTTATGGTGCACTTCCGAAAGGAATTTTGATGTATTTTAGATTGACAAAGAAAGGCAGTATCCTTTTTGATAATTGATTATGGAGCACTTCCGACTGGAATTTTGGAGTATTTTAAATTGTGCGTTATAGGGAAGATGCAAACATTTTTCCAGAGCAAGCAATGTGAACTTCTTTGGAGCGATGCAGATGTCATTCAACATAGGTTATGGTGCACTTCTGAAAGGAATTTTGGTGTATTTTTGATTGACAAAGAAAGGCAGTATGGTGTTTGATAATTGATTATGGGCACTTCCGACTGGAATTTTGGAGTATTTTCAATTGCGAGTTATAGGGAAGATGCAAACATTTTTCCAGAGCAAGCAATGTGAACTTCTTTGGAACGATGCAGATGTTATTCATCATGAGTTATGCGGCACTTCCGAAAGGAATTTTGGTGTATTTTTGATTAAAAAAGAAAGGCAGTATGGTGTTTGATCATTGATTATGGGCACTTCCGACTGGAATTTTGGGGTATTTTCAATTGTGCGTTATAGGGAAGAGGCAAACATTTTTCCAGAGCAAGCAATGTGAACGTCTTTGGAGCGATGCAGATGTCATTCAACATAGGTTATGGTGCACTTCTGAAAGGAATTTTGGTGTATTTTTTATTGACAAAGAAAGGCAGTATGGTGTTTGATCATTAATTATGGGCACTTCCGACTGGAATTTTGGAGTATTTTCAATTGTGCGTTATAGGGAAGACGCCAACATTTTTTCACACCAAGCAATGTGAACTTCTTTGGAACGATGCAGATTTTATTCATCATGAGTTATGCGGCTTTTCCGAAAGGAATTTTGGTGTATTTTTGATTGACAAAGAAAGGCAGTATGGTGTTTGATCATTGATTATGGGCACTTCCGACTGGAATTTTGGAGTATTTTCAATTGCGAGTTATAGGGGAGATGCAAACATTTTTCCAGAGCAAGCAATTTGAACTTCTTTTGAAGGATGCAGATGTTATTCAACATAGGTCTTGGTGCACTTCCGATAGGAAATTTGGTGTATTTTTGATTGACAAAGAAAGCCAGTATGGTGTTTAATCATTGATTATGAAGCACTTCCGACTGGAATTTTGCAGTATTTTCAATTGTGACTTGTAGGGAAGATGCAAGCATTTTTTCCAAAGAAAGCAATTTGAACTTCTTTAGAACGATGCTAATGTTATTCAACATAGGTTATGGTGCCCTTCCGAAAGGAATTTTGATGTATTTTAGATTTACAAAGAAAGGCAGTATCCTTTTTGATAATTGATTATGGAGCACTTCCGACTGGAATTTTGGAGTATTTTCAATTGCGAGTTATAGGGAAGATGCAAAAATTTTTCTAGAGCAAGCAATGTGAACTTCTTTGGAACGATGCAGATGTTATTCAACATAGGTTATGGTGCACTTCCGATAGGAATTTTGGTGTATTTTTGATTGACAAAGAAAGCGAGTATGGTGTTTGATCATTGATTATTGAGCACTTCCTACTGGAATTTTGGAGTATTTTTAATTGCGAGTTATAGGGAAGATGCAAACATTTTTCCAAAGAAAGCAATTTGAACTTCTTTAGAACGATGCAGATGTTATTCATCATGGGTTATGAGGCACTTCGAAAGGAATTTTAGTGGTGTATTTTTTATTGACAAAGTATGGTGTTTGATCATTGAATATGGGGCACTTCCGACTGGAATTTTGGAGTATTTTCAATTTATGAGTTATAGAGAAGATGCAAACATTTTTCCAAAGCGAGTAACTTGAACTTGTTTGTAAGGATGCAGATGTTATTCATCATGGGTTGTAGGGCACTTCCGAAAGGAATTTTGGTGTATTTTCGATTTATGAGCTCTTTCGAGGGAACCCGACGTTATTGATTTAGGATTAGGAGCTCGTCCGGCAGGAATTTTGGAGTATTTTAAATTTTGAGTTATAGGGAAGATGCCAACATTGGAGAACAAGCAATTTGAGCTTCTCTGGAACGATGCAGACGTTATTCATCATGGGTTATGGAGCTCTTCCGACATGAATTTCTGGGTACCTTCGATTGACAGAGAAGACAAAATCCGACGTTATTGATCAGCACTTCCGACTGGAATTTTGTTGTATTTTCAATTGTGAGTTAAAGGCAAGATGCATACATTTTTCAAGAGCAAGCAATTTGAGTTTTATTGGAACGATGCAGACGTTATTCATCATATAGGATATGATATAATATGTTGCTATATGATACGGTATGATATTGTATGATACTATATCATGCTATTTTATACGATATGATGTAATATGATGCCGTATGATACGGTATGATATAGTATGGTACTATATGACGCTATATTATACGATATGATAAAATATGATGCTATATGATACGATATGATGTAGTATGGTACTATATGACGCTATATTATAGGATATGATATAATATGATGCTGTATGATACGATATGATACAGTATGATATAGTATGATGCAATACGATACAGTATGATACGGTATGATATAGTATGACGCAATATGATACAGTATGATTCGGTATGATATAGTATGATACTATAGCATCATAATGCTATATGATGCTATTGTTATAGTTTGATGCAATATGATACAGTATGATTCGGTATGATATAGTATGATACTATAGCATCATAATGCTATATGATGCTATTGTTATAGTTTGATGCAATATGATACAGTATGATACGGTGAAACAATGAACAAATAAAATCGAATGAACGAATGAACAAATAAAACCATACTTTCAAGAATTTCGAAATTTCAGTTAATTCGGCAATGGGGGACCAAAGGAAAAATCCCAATTTTCGTCAAATGCTGCCAAAGTAAGTAGAATTGCATTCTTTCATGAAAAGATTACATATGAGCACATAAAATCACACTATCATCAATTTTAAAATTTTAGGCAAATTGGCAATGGGGGACCAAAGGGAAAATCCTAATTTTCGTCAAATGCTGCCAAAGTAAGTAGAATTGCATTCTTTCATGAAAAGATTACATATGAGCACATAAAATCACACTATCATCAATTTAAAAATTTTAGGCAAATCGGCAATGGGGGACCAAAGGGAAAATCCTAATTTTCGTCACTTTTATGTAATTTCAAAATTCGGTTGAAAATACGTCGAAATGCCGACGAAGTAAGTAGAATTGCATTCTTTCATGAAAATATTACATATGAACAAATAAAATAATACTTTCATGAATTTCAAAATTTCAGGCAAATCGGCAATGGGGGACCAAAGCAAAATCCCGATTTTCGTCAATTTTTTGAAATTTCAAAATTCGGTGGAAAATACGTCGAAATGGTGCCGAAGTAAGTAGAATTGCATTTTTTCACGAAAAGTTTACATATGAACAAATAAAATCATACTTTCATGAATTTCAAAATTTCAGTTAATTCGGTAATGGGGACCAAAGCAGTAATCCTTATTTTCGTCAATTTTTGAAATTTCAAAATTCGGTTAAAAACACGTCGAAATGCTGCCAAAGTAAGTAGAATTGCATTCTTTCATGAAAAGATTACATATGAACACATAAAATCACACTATCGTCAATTTTAAAATTTTAGGCAAATCGGCAACGGGGGACAAAAGGGAAAATCCTAATTTTCGTCACTTTTTTGAAATTTCAAAATTCGGTGGAAAATACGTCGAAATGCTGTCGAAGTAAGTAGAATTGCATTCTTTCATGAAAACACTACATTTAAACGCATAAAATCATACTTTCATGAATTTCAAAATTTAAGGCAAATCGGCAATGGGGAACCAAAGAAAAAATCCCAATTTTCGTCAATTTTTGAAATTTCAAAATTCGGTTGAAAATACGTCGAAATCCTGTCGAATTAAGTAGAACTGCATTCTTTCATGAAAAGATTACATATGAGCAAATAAAATCATACTTTCATGAATTTCAAAATTACAGTTAATTCGGCAATGGGGAACCAAAGGAATAATCCTTATTTTCGTCAATTTTTCGAAATTTCAAAATTCGGTTGAAAATACGTCGAAATGCTGTCGAATTACATTCCTTCTAAAAAAGAATACACATGAACACATAAAATCATACTTTCGTGAATTTCGATATTTTAGGTTTGCATTGAGTACAAAATAGCTTAGCTTTGGAGAGGATTTTATTTTAAATAGGGTAAGTAGTATTAATGTAATGAGTATTAGGGTACTTGTTTATGCACTAATAAATTGTTTTATGAATTGAATTGCACGTACGGGCCACCGTAGTAAACGGATGAGGCGGTGGCAAACAAAGTAAAAACAGGTTTAGCACATTTATTGAAACCATTTTTTGATACACTGCAGTGTTTATTCCAGCAATCAGCCTGGAGAGCCGTGCATGTCATCAGGACGAAACCTATATATCTGAGAACCAAGAGAATAAATCTTCGTAACGTTGACAAAAAGTAATATGATTTTACTGTGGTTACACACTTACAATGTCGTTTTGATTTGCTATTGTTTTTCCAGTTTTTAAAATAAGTTTACCAAAAAATGCCTCATTGACGAAAGAATTAAACACCCAGAGAATGTTATAATACGAATATTGTACAATTAAGTAATGGCATTATATGGCCCTTATGTCGTCCACTTATGCGGACAGTGTCTGCAGCATCGAGAGAAAGTCTTCTGGTCTGATTAAATGAGTTGAACCTAAACGTGAAAAATATTGGAACAACAGCTTAACCTATAGTTTCACTAAGTTATAAGTATATATACACTCTTATGAAGAGTAGCATACATGAAGAATAGCATACATTAACAGTAATAAGCCATGGGTTGAGTTAAGGCCCAGTTACAAGGTGCAATTCCTCTTGCAACGCAATTCTACTTTTAGATACTCTGCACTAATTTACATCTCAGACTCTGCACTGCACGTTGCAAGAAAAATTGCACCGTGTAACATGGCCTTTACTGAATAGTGAACCTATAACTTAGGCTTAGGCCTTACTTGGATAAATTCATGCAGTGATGCAGAGAGAACACATCATTTTTCTAGACTTAGCTTAAATATCATACCTATAATGATGTCCCAGTCTTTGTTCGCAGCTTTTACCTAAAAATATTGTGTTTATCTCTTAAAGTTATTCAGGTATATTCACTGGTACATTCTGCTAACAATACGAGTTCAAGATGCACACGTATGCATAAATCCAGTTAACTCACTGACCTCATAAGCAGTGCGCATTTCTGAATATGTGACACCCCCCATGATGAACACAATCAATCGAGGACAACTTCTCGTATTTTGCTGACCCTAAAAAAATTCTAACTTTTTCAAAGTATATTCCCATCCATGCTGTACTGCATGCATTATACATGTAAAAAGCTCTCGTTCATTGCATTACTTTAATAAGACTGTACTATAATATGCGAAATTTTGAACTGGGAAAGCGGGGTTGCCTTTGAGGGTGAAGCCTCGTATTCGTGTAAACCTGCAATAGAGCAGCCGTTTAGGTAAAATGCGCATGAGCACAGAGATATAAAGATGATTTATACGATGATAGGATACTAATTTTATAGGAGAGAATTATTCTTCTCACAAACCTTATGCCACTGGCCATAACGAGCGCTATAAAAATGAATATAAAAGTGAAAGTTTGGAAATATAATTTCTTAAAAACCAAACTTACTCTATAATGACATGTCTCACCTTTTCCCAACGCCACTGCCTAAACGAAATAATGAAAAAAAGTTATCAAATTGCCGTCTTGAACATCTTGAAGCTTTAAGCTTGATTTAGATTGAGTTTACAACCAAATACAAATGGAAAATACAAAATCGAAAACATCGTGTTGTGCATGGGCGATCCATTTGAACATCTTTTTAGGGAAAAACTTTCTATGAAAACAAACTTACTGTAACCGGAAGAAACACTTCCTCTTGCCACTGGAATATAATTGAACATCTTTTCATTCAACTTTTCTAGCAAGGAATCCTAAAGCAAAGCAAAGTCAAGGCAATTTTCTAGTGAAAGTAAAACCAACTGCATTTATCGAATAGAAATCCTCAACAACAGATTTTAATTTGATACAAGAACTCAGAACAAGCTTGCGATTTGACACGAGTACATATTTTTTTCATGGTTGTATCCAACCTCTACACCAAGCCTTTGCCGGATTTAAATAGCGTAAATGAGTCTATACTGTATGATAGGGGATATTTCGTTTCTTTTATACATTGTCAAACAGTCTCTTTTCAAATTTAGGCTACCGACAGGGCCGGTTCATGAGCACTCTCTACCCTCATTATACTATGTATATCGATCCATCATCATCGACTTCTTAGACACGCTATTCGCTCACCTCCATCAAGTCTTTAACAAATGGAACATATCTTGAAAGCTGGTACGTCTCAGGAGGTCTTTCTTTCCTTTCAGGTTTTGACTTCTTCTTCATATTCTAGATATGGGAAATAAATAACATTCAAATTTTAATAAGCTTGTTTGAACATTCAGGACAGTTGCAGGAGAATAATAAACTATTATAGTTGGGCTAAGGTTTTGCACACATGATAGAAGACATTATTGTGTTTTACTGTATAACAAACTCTCAATCGCTAGTAGCACTCATTCTTGTTGACTTGGGCAAACCAACACATGCCACCCACATATACATACCCCTTCTTTAATCAGGACTCCAATATTGGCCATGTTATGGATAATTTGCCTGAGAAAAAAGATGGGTATAGTGACTATAACAGAAAATCGTATCATATCTTATCTGAAAGAAATATTGCGCATTTTCATGAAGACATGCTGTAAGTACCAGGTGGCAGGGGATAAAAAGAGTGCCGTCATCTAGTAAACAGTGATTTAAATTCTCCAAACAAAAAAACATAATTTTGAACTATTTCCCATCTACCACTCGTCGCGGTGGTACAGGTAACAAAAAAGGGAACCTAAATACGCTTAAATAGAACAAGTTTTTCTTAATTGCCCTTTTTTTGCTAAAATTTTCTAAAGCGGCCGAAAATCCTCATGACAAGGTTGTGTGATATTAAAATTGATGAAATTTGCAAAGCTATTAAAATTAATAAAATTGGCAAAAGAGACACGCAAAATAAATCATCATCCCGCGGTTTATCGCCAGCTGTTAAGACATGCCATACTTACTGTTCACGATATGGAATCTGAGCATGTTGGCAAAGTTTAAGCAAATTTTCCTCACTGATACCTGAAGAATAAAATTTATGAAACTGACAACACAATTCAGATCAAGCAATTGCATGGTACAATTTTAAAAACAATTTGAAAAGATAGTTTGACAGGGTATTGAGACGTGGCCCTTATATGTGGAAACAAAGCTTTTTGCCATAATGCTCAATGACATTTACAAACTAAATATATTATGGAGATAAAAAAACATGAGACATGTTCAAGTAGTACAATACATACCATCTTTTGCAATGATGTAGAGAAGAATTATTCTGATTTTATCTGCGACACTAAAGAAACATTGTTAGAATGCTTTTTCAAAGGATTGAGAGTCTGAGATGTGCGAACTGCCCACATTGGAGACCATAAGGCAGATCATATTCGTATTTTCTGTTATGCCTGGCTAATTTCTTTTGAAAGCAATTTACTTTCAATAGAAATCAGCCTGGCATAACAGAATATCAGAATATACAAAGGCGATCGGACAATTTCTAATACCGACCTCACACCACTGTCTAGCAACAACGGATTGATATTCTTCAATGGATCTTTGATTTTTTCGCCAAGATTATCAACACCAGTTGCAAGGTCCTAAAGAATAGACAGAAACAATGAATGGTCTATGTGATTTTGGATAACTTTCTCGTTTCTAAACTGTTCTCATCAGTAACGGTCGTTACTGGACTAATTTAGATAAACTACATCATATCCAATGTCAACAACAAAGTACTTGTTTGATAAAGTGCACGTGATCGTCTGAATTGGAAATCATGGCTTCCAACATTATCACACTACATACCTGTTCAACGGGACATATCTTTTCTGCAGTCTTTTTGTATTTTTTCATACATTCTTCTGTCAACATGAAATGTACGTTCAGCTAAAATGCGGAGAACATGTGAGTTGATAAAGTCAAGCAATCTAAAAAAACACAGATACACTGGCGACCAAGAAGAACAGCTCAAAACAAGTTAAAATACTCTCAAATGAACGTGACTGTTCCTTTAACTGTTTATACGAGTAAATATAGACTAGATTACAATGCTAAGCTATATGAAATATAATATTTTGTTGACCCTCTTTTGGCCTTGATGACGGCCTTACACAGGCGTGGCATACTTTCTATTAAGGTGGTAATCGAAGTTAAAGGAAATTCATCTCATGCCTATGGACAGTCTTCACAGCAATCCATAAATCATGGACGCTTTGTGAATTAATTCATCTCTTGCACTACCCCTTTGACATTGTCCCACAGATTTTCAATAGGGTTAAGGTCTTGTGCACGCCAATCCATTTCTGTCACTCCCTCTTGCTGAAACCATTGCTTGACTATCATGGAGGTGTGGCAGGTTGCATTACATTATTGAAATGATTCCTGTTACATACGATAATAGCAACATTTGAGCAGTTCTTTTTGACTGCCAGTGTAATTTGTGCACTTACACCGCTCATCTCCTTCTGATATTGAGGTAACCGCTTCAGCATTTGTTTCAAATCCCTCATGTCAGCCTAGAGAAGAAATGGCGAATGAAGGATCGAATATTTAGGTTTACGAAACGTCATGTTCAAAAGATTTCTATCTATATTCTATTTGTAAGTGTTGTATATGTGGAGACGTGAATATGAAATACTTGCTTCATGTGCAAAAAACAATGGACCTTTTTAATGGGATTCTCTTTCCTGCTGTAAAATCGAGTTCATGCACTATTAGGAAAATCGCCATTGTCAAATTTCGCTTTCTACTTTCAATCACTGCTCAAAAAACCCATCAGGAATGGCTCAAATGAATAATTCCTTCCAACAAAGAATTATTAAACGACACTGGTACGTAGGGCACGATAACTACGCTCTTGCATTGGTTGTGGAACTCCTCTAATGCATTATAGAATGCCATTATTATACTCATAATAAAAACACGAGAAGAGTTTTCGATCGATTTTCTAATAACACACCTTGTCGCCTGCTTTACTAAGCTTGTTAGACGTTGCAAACTTCTTTACTTTTTCTGGCACTTTGCTAAGATGGGAAGAGCAGAGAATAAGAGGCGCGTGTGAGGCACGAGTAAAGAAATATGTACTGTATAAGAACTCGGGAAAGGGGGAGGGCGAGGCCGGGGGGGGGGTGGTTAATAAGGAATGAACATTATAACCCTGATCTATGCTGAAGCTTGTATCAATATCATATTTCTTACGTGGAAACATCTGCGATGTGTTTATGTCGTAGTTCAACCCAAAGTTTATCCGATTCTAAAAGAAAGTAAACAATTTAAAGGAGATATATTGTAAAATGTCCATAACGTAAAGAAACGCTTTGCTCGCCTTGTTCACCAGCTTATTCCTATAATATGATGCACTGTTTAAATATGTTACACCATGCATTTTGGGCAGCTTTGGCTATAGACTGGCTTACCATCAAGCACAACAGACTTCTCATCATCTCCAGACATAAACCTAATGACATAAGGCAGAAAACTGTAAGATATATGATGCAATAACTCTCTTCAAACGACGGCGACTTATTACTGATACTAAGAGGTCTTTCCTTGCCGGTTGACAAAATGGACATGTTAAATACAGCCCTATTTTGTATGCATATTTGACAATTCCGCTAACGGTAACGATCTCAAATCCTTCAACTTACGTGAAAACGTCATTTTTTATGTCCAAAAGATCGTACGCCATTGCCTAAAATTTAGAATGAAAACAAAATCTAGTTTTCAGAAAACGAGCATTTTGGAAGTCAGCTACATTATTAGCGTAGAATCCGATATCTGGACGGATAGTAAAAATTACTATCCCGTGCACGCCTGTAATGGAAAATATCATTGGAAATCCGCATCCAGAAGGATTCTGATGAATTTCTATCGAGGAACTAATTTAAAAACGGTTATTACAGCACACTGAGACTAGTTTCATACATTTCGAGTTAAAAAATTGAAATAATACGACACGAGCACAATAACAACTTGTACAACTTAACTTCCAAATTATATTTTTATCATATTAAAATACCTGAAAGGTGAGTTCGTGAAGCAAGGGTGCGACGGGGTCAAATCCTCTAAAGAAATATTATTAAGGCTTAAATTGATGATATCAAATTGGTGAAATAGGTTTCAGAATTTTCATCCAAATACCTGTCCAGAAGTAGAAATTGGGAACGGTGTTTTTGAGAACCCTAAAACAGGTAAGAGAAATGAGAAATCTAATTTATGTAGTTCTGGAAAACTTCACATAATGAACATGTGCATAAGATGTTTTACAATGAGCATATTACAGTTTGTAATTTAGCTTGTAGGTACACCACGTAAGTATTTAATACTGCAAAGCTTTCGGTCCGTTAACCCGGGCCTTCATCAGTGCGATTACCTGAATACACATCTACAAGCTAATTTACTTATTTATGTCACCATGCAAACATACAAGAACATTATATTGCAGTAACTTCAAACAATGAACAAACTTTGCACATTTGAATGCTGATATGACTGTGTAGACTGACCTCTCCCATTGACGGATCCTCCGCCTTGTATGCTGTGAGCCTGTTCTGTAAAGCATGTGCTAACTCTCCTAAACCAGGACATGTACTGAAAGACATAGTGACACACGTTAGTAAAGAGAACTGACTAAACTCATTCTTCATATCAGAGAGATAAAAATGAAATTGGTTTCAGAATATGCCACTACACACTAATACCCCCCATCACTACGTCCCTGCCTCCGATCCTACAGTGAGTTGCCTGCGCCGAATTTCCTTTATATAGGTTATAGATAGACTTCATGTTTAGCCAAACAGCTTAAAGGTAGAATATTCAGGGGCAAAATTATAACAAAATCTTCAGTATATTGGATGTAGTGTACAGTGGAATTATCTGGCATTAGGAGAGAGGATTACTAAAAAAAACAAATGAAGCCTCAAAATATTAAAAATTATACTTACGCTCTGAACCGGATGGAGGGGTACTCTCCTAGTGTTGAACAAAGTGTTGCCAACTGCTCTGCAACTTTCTGCACATAAAATGAAGATTCAAAGGAAGAATGACTACAAATTATCTATGTAATAATTATTGCTTAGTTTTGCATCTATATTTTTATCCTATTATTGCCGGGTTGAGGTCTAAAAGAAATTTTGGTTTCTTGCCATTTATAATCTCTGGAGGCTGGTTGTTAAAAAGTGTTTGAAAGTGTTTGAAAGGCATTTAGCTTAAACGATAAGAGTTTCAAGCCAAAGTTTTAAAATACTCTCATAAATCTTATGAATGGGTGAACCTGCATCTTATGGATTTAATATGTACTTCCATTGACAATTAAACTATTTACATCGAAATATTTCAGCTCAGTTGTGCAATAAAAAGATACTTTTGTTTTCCATTTTGAACTTATCCACCGTTTAAGATGAACGCTTTTTAAACAACCGGCCCCAAATTTATATATGTGATAAAAGTAGCTAAAATGTATGTGCATATCTTGGATGCTTACACCTTGGCATAATCTATCAGAAATGGTTGGATAGTAACACATTTTGATATAATGAAGTCATGTTTTTTCACATTCAGAGAGAAAAGACATGTTATGGACAGACAATCAATAATTGTAAATTAGTACGGGTTTCAACTAGATCAATATAAACAAGTGCATTTCTAACCTCAATATCAGCAATATGTTGCTCAGACTCCAAGTAAAATGTGTTAACAACTTGTGGAGTATCCAAAGAAAAGACCTAAACACAAAGTAATCTTAAGTAAAATGTGTTGACAACTGTCCAAACTTATGCAAGTAAAAGATTGGTGATGGGGTTGAATTGTTTTTCAATGATACAAGTGTTATAATGATACATAGTGAGCTATATCTGTTTTTATTTACTTTGTTTCTGTGTGTTTTAGCATTTACCTGGGACTCGTAAGGAATAAAGGCCATGTTGATTTCCTTCATGGTTTTAATAACTGGAAAGTCAAGAACATACAATGTTGAACTCTATTTTTCACAACAATCTAAAAGTTAATACAGTTTAATGTATGTACTAGTAAAAGATAATTGATAGTCTACATGTATGTGACTTACATTTTGCTGTGTAAGAGTTTGCTAACTTGCTAATTAGCTCATCATTGCAAACTGAAAATTAACAGTTGAACTGATCAAGAAATGAAAAGTTGGAGTTCTTCCCAACATTTAATGTGTTTTTATTCTATTTTACTATCTAGCAGTTAACTTACCTTCAGTAAAAAAAACATGTGCAGCTGGGTACTTTACTTGTTCATCCTCACGGAAGTCATTCATAAGGAGATCAATAGACTAAACAAAAGATGCACTTAGCATAATTTTAACAACTAAATTGGCTACATTAGTATCTTATTGAGATATTTTTACCCAAGCCCCCCGCAAAATACAGCCAAAGCTCTGCTGGCTAAGATTATTTCATTACCACAATAATATAATGAAGCATAGTGCTATATTTATGTTAAACAATAAAGCCTCACTTTCACTCATCGCAATAACTAACTTGCAAGTTAACTGTGAGGATTTTTGTCCAATGAAAATGCTTGTGTTGATTCTAATTAGCTGCAAGCACTTTTGTAGCGATAAAAGCAATAAAAACAATATAAACTGTACCTCTGCTATTGGTGTTAAAATGTAAATAGCCTCCAGTGCAGGCAAAGGTTCTCTAGATTTCTTAAGACCTTCAACAACTAGATAAACAATCAGAAAATATAATACAATAAATTACCACCATATTTATGATTACCTATAACCACAGGTAAAACTCTTGGTAAAATAGTCCAATTTATAATATAAAATTCTAAAGTTGTATGGGTTATATCTGATCAATATGAACTTACTGGTTATCCCTTCACTCATAATATCACTCATTTTGCAACAAGATGAAACAATCCTAAGGCTTAAGTTATCCAGTATTAACACCTAAAAAGAAAAATATCAAAATTATATCAATTTAGGATATATGCATGCTTACTAGGTCAAACTAGAAGACTAAATCGCCACAAAATTAATATTGAAATTTCCCTCTAATAAATATGGTAATATAACAAGACTGAAAGGATTGCTATAACAATGAATAAATTTTCAGGTCCTAACTGGATATATACCAGATTGCAAAGTTTGGCATTGCTGTATCTAAGATGAACACAGTTATGAGGTCTTGGTGAACTCAAGGTGCATGGTTATATTACTTTCTATAAACCGACTGGATGCATCTAGCACCAAGCCATTTATCATATGCTTAAAATCAAGACAAATATATTGTACACCTCCCCTGTATCTATATCTGCACTTAGAGTACAGCTGTGGCTTGCCTGCCATGATTTATGAAGATGACCTTTAGGCTTTCTGCACCTGACATCTTGGAAAGACGTCTGCTCAGGTAAATATTAGGTGAAAGCAAAGCAATCCAAATCTCTAGAGTATTAAATTCCTAACTGACTATCTGCATTGTCTATTCATGCAACAAGTAAAGCTGAACTGTTACATTACAAAAAAGCATTAAAAACTTATTTTTTCAAATTAATACGATGAAAACACTGACAACAATTTATAATCTTATGATACATAATCATATAAAGTGTCACCAATTTTCTTCACAAAACACGAAGAAAACTGAAAACCTCACAAAGATCACATGCTTCAACAGTTCAACTATCAGAGTAAAATTTAACCTAAAACCTTTTCATGAACAAGTCGTAAACAAGCTTAACACCAAAAGGAGCATAAAGAACATACCTTCCATTTCTTGGGTTCATGTAGTGGCTTGATAACTTCCTCTATAATGCCTAATACAATATAAACAAAATATTTCTGTACAAAATATCTGTGTAAAATATAAGGAAAATGCGACATTTATTGCTCGAAAGATACCCACGTTTCCCAACTGCTTCCTTCAAAGACATCTTGGTAGTTTTTTTGGTATCTAAATTTTGACAAAATATAAAGGTTTTTTACATTTTATTGATTAAATACTGAAAATGATGTTTTGAAGATGACTTTTTGTCCACTTTAAATTTTTGTAACCACGCCTCCCATCACGTCTCCCCCCCCCGGTTTACCCGCGCGACGGCGGCAGTAAAACACACAGGGTGCTTTACTGCGCTCTTGGGCTACAGAAGCTTACAGCCACCGCTACCGCTGTGGATTCCCGAATGATTTCCTTACATATTACTCGTCACACAAGTACAAATTGCCCGAGTACTTGAAGTGAAATATATACAAGAATTATAACAATGGATACCAATTAATTTATTAATTCAAAAATTTCTACAAACACGTTTTTGACAAAATATGTACATCTAAAACTATATGAAAATATTCTTCCTAAAACCTATTGGTTAACGTTGTTTAGAACAAAGTATGCCTACGTGAGGTATAAATTAAAAGAAACCATCCTGTTTATTGGATTTCTATTGTACCGACTACCGACCTTCCTGTAAATTCTAATAACTAGATTATAGAAATATGGCGAAGGTACATTCTGATGAATTATTGCTAAGACAAATAATGCGCTCGCTTGAAAGAGGGTTCTTAATTTTGATGTTTTTTTAAAACAAATATTACCAAAATATCACCAATATATTTCCCAATGAAGAGACACCATTTCAGTGGTACTCGACGAACTGTTAACCAGCCCTACGTAACTAAAACGAATTTTGTCCCCTCCCTAACTCCATACCATGGTGCAAAGCTCACTGCACACAATGACACACCAAGTTCGAATGGTATCTTTTTCTATGAAGACTATTATTGCAGATGGTCAAAATTTAGAAAAAGAAAATGCTCCCATAAAATAAAATGAAAACTGAAAAATTGTATGTGTGAACCAGTGAACCCTTAACAGCGCTTTCACCCTCCTGTGGAATCCTAGTGGAATGTACCACAACTGGTCAGTGCATAACAACATTAACATTGTTACATGACAGTTTCATCAACACCGTCTTCCGCCGCCGCTGAGAAACTGCCTTGTGTAGACACTGAAGGCTCAGATAAGCCTCCAAAGTTCATATCCAGTCGAGGAGAACTGGGTTCTAAGTCAGCTAACTTTGGCAATAAATCTTCGCGTTCTGCGTCTGACGCCGATTTCATATCATGATCACTTCCATCTGCGTTATCACCTCGCGCATCAGGTCCCGAGGGTGAATATCTTCCCGATGGGGTATCTGCACCAGGTGGATGATCGGATGAAGGACTTTCAGGGATGTCGCTGAGTTGTTTACAAACTTTCTGATGCTTGCCGTGATGGCGTCCATGTTTTCGATGTTTGTGGTGGGGTTTGCGATGATGCCGTTTGTGGTGGGTACTGACATTTTGTTCATGTGTACCGCTTTCCTCGAGATCTCTCTGTTGCTCGCGGGAGACTTTTCTGGAGATAACTGAACGGGGCATTTGCTGGGCCTGAGAGCGTCTAAAAGGTGTAAAAGTTTGCTGCTCATTGTCTTTTGAACGAAAAGTGGAATAGTTTACAGTTTAGTTACAAGAGCAAGGCCGAAGTCGGCCGAAAATCGGCTAATTTTAGCAATGACACTTTCCTCTGATCATGATTATTACCTTCTCAACCTTAAAGCTTCCTCGCAGATGTCAGATTCTTCTGCAATATTGTTTTTTGAAAATCTGCGAGTCCCCTGGAATAAAGTCAAAGAGAGCCAAAATATTTTAAGGATATTAAAACTTAAAGTAAAGGCTTCTCTGGACATCTCCAAATGACATCACGTTGAGGTTAGTTATATAGAGTCACAGTTTGGGACACGGCGAGGTTACACTTATAGTATCGGTTAGGGAAGTTGGGTTTTGGGTAGGCCATGGGAAACTGACTATATTGTACCTTTTGTGGTTTTGCAAGTAGCATAGCTAGCTGGACATGCTGGACAACATTTTTAAACCCCTCACATTCTTCCGGTTGGGAAACACCTAAAAGAAAAAGATTAATGTTGAAGAAAACAAACTGTTGAAGTTGACTTTGTAGCTTTCATTATACCAATTCTAAAATGTCGTGATATCGCCTATCGATTGGGAGGAATGTCAACAACAGTTTACGACTTACACGAAAATGAAGAAATAGCTTAAAGCAGGTCTAAGTCACAACTTAGTTGACTTTAGATACGAGTGTTTCACCCTGCCTTCATGTGCATTTAAAATTCTTTACCTGAAGAGCGGCGTCGATCTTTGACAACATGTTCGAATTCGCTAAAATTTAAAATGTTTTGCATCAACTTGCAACAGTCGTAAAATAATAAAAGAAACATTGATCACAGCAGTGTATAAGTGAAACGTACTGAGCCGGCAAATTAGCGCTAACTTCATTTCAGATTTATTTGCAGCCGCGTGAAAAACGCATCAAAACAAAATATATTGCAGACAAACAGTTCCTGATTGGCCAACTGGGTCATATTTTAGTCAACGCTCAAAAGGGTTGTCAAAATAGAAACCCGCCATTCTGCGTTTTACGAACTTTTTAGTTCAAAGAACTATAGCTTGGAAGCCGAAAGTATAATTTTTAGAGATATTAATTTCTTTTAACCAAGAAGTGGATTTACATTTGACAACTAGCTGCAGTCTTTTCCCGCTATTTCAGATATTGTATCAAAAATACTTACTCAGGCTCCTCATTCGGATCACTGGTTTCACGTTTATACTCGGGCGGCCCTACTTCTCTGAAAAAAAATTATTCCAGGCATTCAAAGGAGGCAGAGCGCGAATGGGGACAATTTTCCCCGGCAACCAGGTTTGGAGAGGGGGCTCAATGTCGCTTTATACATTATACAATACAAAACGATTGCATCATACTTAAAAATTAAGCTTCCCAAAATTCTCTGCGTTTGGTATCCTGAAAACGAGTAACGTTTTACTTCGGTTTTGAAAACTCACCGTGAAGATATCTTCCTGTAGACCATTAAAACAGTCTCATCTATGGCCTGTTGATCTGAACGGTTGCGCATGAACCACGGGCGCAGGTATTTCAAATCAACATACTGGTAAAGATTCTAAAAATACGGCAAGAAATGAGATGAAAGAAACAAACCTGTCATGCAAACTCTTTGGACTTCAGTCTTCAGATACAAAACTAATCAGATACAAAATCACTCAATGCCATATGCCACTTTCAGCAATTTCTTACGTTATTGTAACTATTTGTAATACGCCAAAAGTAGTCCAACAATTACAGTAATCTCGAAAGCGATCATGTGAACAAGCCCTTACTGTACCTTCCAATAGTATCGACCTCGATGTTGAATGACATCTTGAACCCCGCCAAGTAAATGATCAAGCATCTTTCCAAAAAAGAAACAACAAATGACATACTGATATACACACGGACGGTGTTACACCTTATAGTTTCGATAAAATTGGTATACAATCCTCACATTATCTAGCCTTGTGCAAGATTAAATCCCGATTAACAGAACTATATTTTTTTCTTCTCTTCTTATCATTAAGGATAGAAACAATGGACTTACTGAAACACTACCTTATCGTTGACTTCACCCAGCATTACTTCTTTTCTCTTTACAGAACGTTTGACTTTCAACAAATTTACCAGCGGTTTGATTGTGATTCCCTAAATATGGAATAAAACCAGGGATTTACTTGTGGTTGCAGTGGGGCGCACACCTCCTAGTTTAAACAGACGGACAATGCTATGTAGAACAATTGACGCAGGGGCATAGGAAGCGGAATATATACATATAGAGATAGAGAGTAAGGATTGCCATTCTCAGGTCTCTAGTAGTGTGGTACTTCTAATAACTGTAAGAAAACAAGACCAATATGAATATGCCGTTACTAATGTAAGTAATGTACGAACATACGGACTTTATAGGAGTTCCTATATAGAACCTCTATAGGAGTTAGCTGTTGTTACCTGAACAAAGACTGTGAAGAAAACGACAGCAATGGTAGTGGTTATCAAAATCTCCTTCTTATCGGCAACGTTTTCATCGTCTAAAACAGTAGCCAATGAGAATGACACTGCACCCCGAAGACCGCCATAAGCCTGCAATCACAAACAACAAAGAATTAGGACGTCCATGTTGCGGTGCATGTACTGTACCCGTAAACCCCATAACAACACTCATGGGGGAGGGGGAGGGTGCATCGCGGCTCAGATTTTTATGTTATCTAAACTATGATCAAACTATGATACGATCGTCATTGATCGTTTGACATGTCGAAGTCCATAACGAAATTCTATTTGAGTTAATTCTCATCATTCAAGATAATTTTAAACAACTTTTCTTACCATGATAAACTGATCTACTTTCCCCAATTTGTTTAATCGCAATTTGTTTGCCAACCAAGTAAGAAGGACAACGCCTATAGCAGATGAAAACGATTGGTATACATGCAGTGAGTTTTCGTTTTTAGCAAAAAAAAAGATATTGGGTTTCAGACATACAAGCGTGTTGTGTGCCTGTATCAATAATAAATCTTATTCACTTATTGCACTAGAGGTGAAAGGAAGATTTAGTTTTGAGATGGAACAGATGGATCACACTATGGAACGATAGTCAAGTCTAATAGTGTTTTGTATTCTAATAACAGCAATGCAAACTGTACACACCTACACAACGATATACAAAAATGAAGAATATCGTCAGGAATACGAATGAAGCATGAAACTCGAGTTCGTGTTCGAACAGAACTACTCCCAACATCATGAAGATGATTGTATCTGAAAGACCACTAGTAGAGAATATTTAATGTTAATGCACATCATTACAGCATCATTGTCAGAAGAACAAGGCACAGAGCTAGCCTCCTTCACACTGAGCCATCTCTGAAATATTTTGATATTTATTGTGCTAAAAAACGTCGAAAATGGATATATTTTGATATTCTAATATTTATCTTAGGTCTTCATTCTAAGAACAAGTCGACTCTTATAAGGTCATAGAAATATCTGAATATCGACGTTTATTAGAGATGGCTGTGGAGGAGGCTAGCACAGACCATTAATGAGAAAACATAACATGGTGTTGTCAAGCGAAAGGTTGAGTCAAGCGGGAACTGTGCGAACGCACTGGATGGAAGACACATTCTTTTACCTCTTAAGATATCAAACGTCAAACGTACTCTGACACTGATTTTATTATTTTACCCGCATGTATTTAAGCAATGATGTTGGATGTGTCATCGGGTGTGACTGCGCTGGCTTTTTAGGGGCTGTTTACATGCATGAGCCCGGTTTCCCGAGATTTAACGAAGCGTGAGATGACTTTGAGGTATTGAAATAAGCAGATAACATGATCCCGGCAGTCGTATAATCACCACAACAATAGCATGTGCTTGTTTGGTGTCATAAAGACTTATTTTAATACCTCAAAGTCCTCTTACGCTTCGTTGAATCTCGGGTAACCAGGCTCACGTAAACAGCCCCTTACTTTTACACTGTGTAATTTTAGTTTACATAGGTAAATTGTTTAGTCACAAACAGGATATTACACATTTGCCAGAAAACTCTCTCACATTACCTTGCCATCTTCATAAAATATTTCATTGGAATTCTTGATTTTTGTGAGATATTAGCTTCAACATATGATTTCATGACTATAGCGCATGTGACAATACTAAACAAAAATTCAGTAAATCAGTAAAAAAAGTATTGTTGGCAATTCTATAGACCTTTATAAAACGTCTGCACTGTGACGTAGTTTGCCGAAAAAGCATGTACACCTGGTTGGCCAACTGAATGCCAACCGAATGTATGAATCAGAAGCACGCTTTGTCCGCGAACTACGTCATAATACAGATCTCCTATACACCAAACAGCCAAGGTTCATTAATATCGCCTTAGATATTTGTGCCTGGGTTCCTATTCCTACTGTCTTGTTTTAAATTGCTCCTTACTAAAAATCAGCCAGCTGAAGGGCACTGCAGGTATATACAATGAGATAGAATGAGAATATGAGATAAGAAGGTGGGTTAGGTGACCTTTGCAACTCACCTGATGATTCCAGAGAAGTGAAAAAGTTCTGCAGTTAAATATGACATGTAGCACATACATACAACAAAGATTGGTTCCAAAACTAAAACAAAGTGAGAAATGGAACAGTAAATTAACAAATTTTGGTTTCTATGACATGATATAGGTTAATTTATTTATATATTGCAACAAATAGATACCTCTAACATGGTCAGTGAATTTCGTTAGGAATGCTGTCAAAAATGCCCAAAATACTCCAATAATCATTCCACCGATACTGACCACAAAGAATGCTGCAACTCCTATGAAAACCTGAAAGAAAAAGTGGTGAAGTTAGAAACCCACTTTTAAGAATAATTAACATGAATTGTGTACCTCTTCAACAGAAACAGATGGTTGGCTAACCAAGGCTTCAAAAAGTCGATATAGTACAACTGTTACAGCATCTAGATTTCAAAGAATTATAAAGCTGAAGTTCTTGTGCCATATTATTTATGCCAGTTTTTAAATTTGCTAAGCTGTATGAGCTCTTCTTTGAAGCCCTTATGACCACACTGGTTTTCACATATAAAAAACTATATAGTATGTACTACTACATATATAGTATGTTGTAAACATACTGTAAACATCAGTTCAAGCATGTCAGCTGTAATCCAGAATTTCTATAACGTACCAGCTGAATATACAGGCATGTAAAGACATACGTATCATATCTGATCTACATGCACTGACCATTTAGTAATGATTCACCAAACACCAGGATATACAACACTTCATTGACATGAACTTCTTCAAACACAGCAAGAACCTGAGAGCAAGAAATATAAATTATAAGACTTAATGGGTACTGAACAAATGAAAAACCAACTTTTAGTTGAGTCGAAAAAGAAATAACAATTAACTTACTGCAACAGGATCAACAGCAGCAATGAGACATGAAAACAATAACATTTGAAGAAGATTTATACCAAGGTCCGTTGTGGCATAAAGAGTTAACCCAACAGTGAATGTGTTGAATATGGTTCCCTGAAAGGCAATATGATATTGCATATTATTTATACTTTACACAAACCTAGCAGATCTATGTTTCTTAGCCTTACTAAATTAAAATTATGAATCATATAGGAGGTCTTATATTTGGGACTAATTAAATGCTACCAAACTAGCAATGCATCTTGAACCTTAGAAGTTGTACACAAAATGTGAAAACCAGAGATTTGTGTGTGGGTGACATCTAAAACTTCTACATTGTAGGTCCAATTACTATATCTCTGCTCAATATACAAATATAGTAATATTAGGTGCTTTCAATTTGACTTGATCAAACATTACGGCATTCATAAGCATGCTTTAGAAATCTGACTTTAAGCTCACCACCACAGCATAAAGAAGTATTGTTCCTATATTATCAAAGAATGCTCGAGTGTGGAGGAAATATCCAGCATCTAATACGATCCTAAATACAACAGAAAACAACACTAATGAACACTGTGCCATTACCACAGTTTTGGAAGTGTTGGACTGTGTGAAGTGTTTAAAGTGGCACACTTACGGTGGTAATAGAAACAGAAAGAAAATTCTAGAATTAAAAAATTGAATTGTCGCTACATTTTGGAAACCTGACACCCTAGAAAAAAACACCCAAAAAATTGACAGGCTGAATGTATCAAGAATAAATGCAATATCAAAAAAGACAAATCTTTTGCTAATACTATACACACTGTATAAAACACAGTAACTTAATATATGAAAATGAAATTATTTATATACTTTAATATCCAGCCAAGAAGAACTCCAAGTAATATAACCATGCTAAAACACAAAAAATAAAACATTTGTTTGTGAACCTTGGCATTGACTTAATTTAAATTGTACTAATTCACACCACAATATAATTTTCTTACCATGACTCTGGAAATACTTTGGACAATCTTTCAGTCATATGGAATACTATATAAAATTAAGTGATAAAATATGAGCTATTAAAGGTGAGTTCATTTTGAAAACCTCTGAGACCAGGTACAAAAGGCAGGTTGGAAAATTTCTGATTTGTATTTGCATGTGTTTATAACAATTTATGATCATAAAGTAGATGCAATAATCCTATTGGTACAATTTCTACAGGTACATTTAAACCTCAATCTGAGGGGTCCTATGACCAATTTTCCACTTAAAACCTAATTTCTACTTTGTCTTGGATGATTATAGGTCATGAACAATATAATCACTCAGAAGATCAAACCATTGATCTGACCAGTATATTTTTCAGTAGAGTGTTTATTGGTTTGATTTGAGAAGAATATCAGCCTCAAATGCTTGATTTTGTTTGAATTTTGCTTCACTCTACACACTCGAGTGAGCTGACATCAAATGTTTCATACCAAGCTAGCAAAGCCAGACATATGTACTGTGAACAAAGACTCATTGCAATTAAAATGTGAGCTCATGTGAATACTTTGGGTTCATTTTGAGTTGACTATAAAAGCCAAGTATTCCCAATGCTTGAAGCAAGTGTTCAAGGTATTGCTAATAAATTATTTAGCTTTCATGCTGAGAAGCTGAGTTATATAATAACACCCGGGTAAAAAAGAAATATTAAAATTTTGCTAGCGGTATTAAAATACCTAATAAAAGTTGATATTTAGGAAAGAATATTAAATTTACTCTTAGTCTTATAGTCCCAAAAATTATCATTATAGAAGCTTACGTTTTTAGCCTATCTAACAAAACTGTCCATATCACAACAAAGGTACAAAATATTTATGGTATATTTTATAGGAACTCGTCATTTGAACCTACCAACTTTTAATAAACTTGCAAGCAGCACCCAAACGGTTACAATAAAAGGTGTAGCTATATACTCAAAGTCGAACTTGGCAACTTTAATCTTGTGCACTTCGTTATGTCTGCTACGATTGTTCCTGAATTCAGTCATATTTCGTATGGACCTGGAATGAACAACATCAACCATACAAAACTGAAACCATATTAGCAATAATATGCCCAAGAAACACGGTGTGCCAGCGAGATTACGTTCCATTTTTAATAAATTCCAAACTCAAGCCATCACTGTCGTCTTTGGATGTTTATCTATGGCTTATCTAAATATTATAATAGAGCACCAAATGATTATGAAAGGGGGCACATCTGACATAAATAAATTCCTGTTTGTTATCACTGATGACTCACTGAGAGATCATTGAGATGTAAATTGTGGGTGGGTGCTGTGCTCCAGTCCACAGACAAAACGCCTGCACAAATTGCGCCTGCACCAGTTCAGGCAGTTCTGCAATTTCTGCAATCTGCACCGGTGGAACGTGGAACCTTGGGGGATTCCCCCCTGATCCCCTGCTCCACAGCAGTGAACTGCTGACTGCTCCACAGTCATTGCGCAGAGACGCTTATAAAAGCGCCTTGGTTCAAGGGTCGCGTTTACACGTATGAAAACCGTAAAAAAAATCCGAGCGAACTGACTGTTCTAGAGTATTCTAAGATGCAATGATAACCAATTTCTGCAGTGCTAAATAAGATGTGTGCTTTGATAAAAGAGATTTTGTGAAGTGTTAAAATGAGATATTTATCACTTATTATTTTATACATACGTGATACGCTATTTAAGAAATAGAAAACATTTTCCGTGTTTCTATACAGTTTTAGTATACACCCGACTATCGTCTATTACAAATCCTACATTCTGATTGGCTACTCAACCATCGTCTATTCGTGATAGTGCATGCACGTTTGGGAAAAATTCGCTCGCGCGACCGTATAAAATTGCATTTTAAAATTAAATTATTTTTCGGTGTAATTTTGCGGTGTATCGATTATTTCCTCGAAATTAATATATCTATGTACAGGGTGTATACTAAAACAATTAGACAACTCGCCTTCGTTGCCTATGAGCGGATAGTCAACTCAGGCTTCGCCTTCGTTGACTATTCGCTCATAGACAACTCGGACTCGTTGTCTAATTGTTAAATAGAAACACGCGTGGGAGTTTGGGAGAACGAGAAATAATCAGTGGGAAAACGAGCCCGTAGGGCGAGTTTTTCCACGTTATTTCGAGTTCTCCCAAACTCCCACAAGTGTTTCTATAACTGTATAGAAACACAGGAAAAAATGTTTTCTATTTCTTTTATAATATAACTCAATAAAAGATTTTGTACAAATATTATGATTCGATTCAATTACAAATTCTCATTACATCGCTTCGCTTGTCAAGTTCGGCGGGAAAATTTCCGTGTTTCTATACAGTTATAGAAACACGCTTCTCGACCAATCTGCACGCGCGTACTATAAATGTTATATTATAAACCTAATTGTAAGTATGGTACACGTGTTACTGAGTCGGTTTTCCACTACTAGCGACAATTTCCTTTTGTTTCAGAGCTCTTAACTGCAACAATCTTAAACAAATTGCTCCAATACAAATGAATAAAGTCGTTCGCGCAAAAATATCGCTAGTACTGGAAACCGGCTTTACTCGGGCAGCCAGAGTTTTACATAAATTTCTTGCCCTTTCGTGCAGTGATAAATTTCTTGGACAGTTCCCACAGATGGGTAGACCACATACAACAAGACTACAGTTATCTCGTAGTAACATGGATTCCCATGGTGACACCCGCGCGAGAAACGATCCTAGGACGATTTCGATTGGTTTGAAGACTTCGTGCTGCCTACGCGTGATTTTCGTAAACTCGCGACGCAAAAGGAAAAACCGAGCCCATTTTTCAACTCGCTCTACCTACGGTAGCCCAAGTAATAAATGTACCTAGCAGCAATAGTGATAAAACAGTCAGTAATAGCCGAAAGTTGAAAGGAATCTTTATGCAAGAAATGAATTATCTGTGCCAGTGGCGTCGCCAGCATCGATAAGTGGGGTGGGCATATTCATATACAGGGTGTATCAAAAAAAAGGTAATCCAACTTTGGTGCGCTATTGTACGTGAATTACTCATTCTATTAACGATTTTTTTTCACATTCCGAAAGGTTAGGCTTTTAACCATCGAATGACATGTTTTTGATAACAAATGGTGAAAAAATGAGCAAATAGGAGGGTGATAAAAAGTGTTAGTCAAAATCGCATATTTTCACCTCTGAGAGTTGGGACTAAAACCATTGAAAATTAAATCTCTTTGGGATTTAAATGAAGAATTTTGCTTTTGAATAAGCGACCCGCATATTCATATTAAGTAGGAATAAATCACATTAGGAGAACATTCTAAGCAATGCGGCATAAAACCAGTGCAAGCTGTGACATGTTGTGATTTATTGTTTTTTTCTTTTGTTATGCACTGCTTTAATTAGGCTCAAAGGTGAAAATATGCGATTTTGACTAACACTTTTTATCAGCCTCCTATTTGCTCATTTTTTCACCATTTCGTATTAAAAAACATGTCATCCGATAGTTAAAAGCCTGATCTTTCCGAATGTGAAAAAAATTCGTTCATAGACTGAGTAGTTCACGTACAATAGCGTGTTGAAGTTGGATTACCTTTTTTTTGATACACCCTGTATTTATGTTCACAGACCGTTAAAACAATGAATTTGAAAATGAATGAATAATAGTGTAAAACACGAATATATGCCATATGCCCGCCCCACTTGGCCCCGGCACTTATCAAGCTGGCGACGCCACTGATTTGGGCGACTAAATTTCCTGGGGAACCGGGAGCCTTTTCCCAGTGCACGTCACCCCAGTAAAACTACGGTAATAGATGCCATCCCAAGATATACAATATAAAGTTAACATGCCGCTGCCTAACTACTTTCCCGATGTGTCCCAGATTTTCCTTTTACCTTCATCATCGTATTCTTTTTAATCCATGAAAAAATATTCGCAGGAGCTGGTCCCAATTGAGGAAATCATACAATTCTTTAACAGTTGAGAATGGATCAAGCATCAGATCACTGAAAACTACAAGTTTGTAGCGGTCCTTATAATACATGGATTCATTTTGAACATGTTTAATGTTTGCCCAAACAGTGTCACAGACGTGTTTCACTTGTCGAGTAAAGTCCTTGCCTTTAATTAACCATCCTACCTTTTTCATAGATGCAATTACGCCAGCCTCGTACCCAGGCGCTTTAATACTAAAACATATAACGTTGCATTCAGGTCTTATATAGAGTTCAGCTGAAAAAACGCGAGCGCGCGGGGGTGCTTGGGGAGGTTGTTTTTTTGGCAAAACCACCCCAAGCACCCCCGCGCGCTCGCGTTTTTTTTAGCTGACCTCTATACAATAACTGAATGCAACATTATTTTTTGCTATTAAAGCGCCTGGGTACGAGGCTGCAATTACGCGGCGTGGATCGCGGATTAAATGAACAATCCATAGGCTCTTATCTGCGTCCAGAATTTTCCTTATCCCCCAAAAGCGGCCATGTGGAAGTCTGTGAGTCAAGACCTTTGCAACAGTGACATTAGAACCGGAGCAGGAAGATTTTAAAATGATATAAAGGCATCGTTCTGAACTATTTGATAACTTACTGCACTGTCCTGGAAATGTCGACAATTTGTTATTCTTTCCTCTATAACTATGTTCCTGCACCAAATAATTTAAATATGTTTAATCAGTAAATGTACAATTGTAAATGTCATCAAGAGTCTTGAATTTTGCCTGGTTGCTTCTGTGATCCCCCGAATTCAAAGCCAATTCCAATGTCTCAAACAGATAAAAAATCTGCTTGTTTTCGTTGAACAGATTACCCAAAAACGACGATCCAGATCTTCCACGACTAATTGTTAGAACCTTTCTTGGAAAAGGCTCCGACCTTTCTTGAAAAAGGCTTCGACTCACATCCAAATCGACGTTAACCAGGGGTAAAGTAATTTGGAATTCTCTAATAATCTCTTTCTAAGGATTTCATTCTTCGCTTGTTTTGAGGATACCCACTGGGCAGTGAATGCTGCCAAAGTTGAATTTTCCGCAAGTATTGAAACGGTTTCACGTGTAGCAAGCCGCGCGTGGCCTGGTATAACATTTTGCATTGCAAACTTGCGAGTTGCGAGTTTGTGTAAATATATCATAGCGAAAGTAATCCCACAGAGATATGTTTATAAGCAAATTTTGATCGAGTTGACGAAATTAATTAACGTATTTCCTATGAGACATTTTACTTCGTTGCCTATTGATAAGTATCATTTTACAGTACACATAGTGTCCTGTCATTACTCGTCTGCTAAATGCGCTTACTGAATTATTTCGCGGCGCACATTTATAGCTCTTATCAAAAATCTCTATTTATCAACATCGTGTGTATGTAATAACTCAAAATGGTCTAGAAACTCCACGTTGTGTTACATTACAAACTCATATATCCGCAATACACCAAGCAATTAATCCCAATTTTGTAGTCGAAATTTAATATAGGTTACAGTAGATTCAAGCTGCTAAATAGGAGTTAAAGTGTTTAACTGTCTAGTGTAATGCGGTTGTTTTGTCGTGAACAGAGTTTATTTCGGATCAGCTATATGCACTGGCTAAAATAGCCGGCAAATTGTGTATTCTATAGCCCGCAAATACACCGTAATGATTGCGCTGCCCGCGTCAACCTCAATGCCCAATATGTTGAACTAGCACAAGAGTTGCATGCGAGTCGAAGAACATTGAGCGGTAGTTGACAAGAATCGATCTAGAAAATCGTTTTGAGTTAAACCCCACAGAGTAAACCTCTTCATTGTACGTTTGATATTTAGTTGGATGATTAACAGCAACATAAATTGAGTCAACAAAAATGAGCGCTTTCATGATTGATATTAACAATTTCTAAGAATAGTTAAGCAATTTTCTGGAAATACTCTTTGTTGTATGTATGAAGTTAATTACATCTTCACAATATTTATCAATAACCATTTCTTCAAATTTCGGAAATTTTACTTTCCTAGTTAGAACCTCAGTTGAATTTCTTGTAGTCTGATATGTTCCAGATTTTCCTTTTACCTTCATCATCGTATTCTTTTTAATCCATGAAAAAATATTCGCAGGAACTGGTCCCAGTTCGAGGAAATCATACAATTCTTTAACAGTTGAGAATGGATCAAGCATCAGATCACTGAAAACTACGAGTTTGTAGCGGTCCTTATAATACATGGATTCATTTTGAACATGTTTAATGTTTGCCCAAACAATGTGACAGACATATTTAACTTGTTGAGTAAAGTCCTTGTTTTTAAACCATCCTACCTTTTTCATAGATGCAATTACGCGGCGTGGATCGCGGATTAAATGAACAATCCGTAGGCTCTTATCTGCGTCCAGAATTTTCCTTATTCCCCAAAGGCCGCCATGTGGAAGTCTGTGAGTCAAGACCTTTGCAACAGTGACATTAGAACTGAAGCAGGAAGATTTTAAAATCATATAAAGGCATAGTTCTGGACTATTTGATAACTTACTGCACTGTCCTGGAAATGTCGACAGTTTCTTACTTTTCCTTCTATGACCGCGTTCCTTTAGCAAAAAATTTAAATATATTTCATTGGTGAACCTACAATCATATATATCGTTAAGAATTTTAAATTTCGCCGCGTTATGTCCACGTTCTCTCGCAGCCCATCCTAATGGCTCAAATAAATAGAAGACTTTGTTGTTTTGGTTAAAGAGATCACCCAAGAACGACGATCCAGATCTTCCACGGCTAATTATTAAAACCTTCTTTGAAAAGGGTTTCCACTCTTTGTTTTGTAGAATATTTTTAGATTCAAATATATTTTCCACGTTTAGGTCTCTGTTGAACTCGTAGCGAAGCAACTTTGAATTCGCCAGTAATCTTGTCCGATTTGTTTCCTTTACTACCGACCATGAAGTGATTAACCATTTCTGTTGCCCTACAACCAAATGCCAGGAGAAAATTGATATAATCCCGACAAAAATGACAATTCCACAAAATATTCTCCTTGTTCGTTTGTTGTTTAGATTAGCCACAATCATCGGACCTTGAATGTAATAAAAAATTCATGATAATCTTTGTTTATATAGTATCTCGGTCAAAATCTGACTTCGATTGCCTTTATTCCAAACAATTACTGGTCGCGACCTCTTTGTTTGAACAGTGCACTGCACGTGGATTTGCAATAGTCGACATGTCGTTTTGATTATATTGAATGCGGATACATTCTTGCAGATAATGGTAGAAAACGGGGTAAATTCTTGCGGATAAAGTCAGAAAACGCGGGTAAATCCGGCTGCGGGTAATAGTAGAAAACGCGGGTATAAATCCCTGCGGATAATAGTAAAAAAACGCGGGAAAATGGTTTTATCATCAAACAATCGTAAATGAACTGTTATTCTAGAAGAAAAACCCGCTTAAGCCACGTTTTGACAAGGTTTTGTTACTTTTTAGCTATATTTACAGATTTAATTATTTCGATTTTCGACGGTGGGCGAAAAATGTTTTCCTAAACTTCGTGGACAGAAGTGACAGTTTCGAGTTATCATTTATTATTATTATTATTATGCTTTGCCAGATACACACAGACTTACAGTACAATAATAAGCACAAATGATATAGGACACGGCAGGGTATACGCTACAGCTTACGCCAATTACAGCGGCCCTTGACAATCAATACAACACAGAAGACAAAACGAAAACACATTTATAGGACTAATAACAACATGAAGTCGAACGAGACAGGTTACGAGACACGTTACAAGACAAACATATAGACTTCCACGTTCTAGGATCTTCGGCATTATAATTCGAGTGCTTTGAAGATAATTATCATAATTTGCCCGACGGTAGGGTTGGCCTACATAATACACTCAAAGGGAGTTGCTCATCATGAAATGTATTGGTTAATAACCAACACTATTCCTTCCACCGTCGAAAATAGAAATAATTAAATCTTTAGTTAAATATAGCTAAAAACCTTGTCAAAACATGACTTAAGCGAGTTATTCTTCTAGAATATTAGTTAATTTACCATTGTTTGATAATAAAACAATTTACTCGCGTTTTCTACCATTATCCACAGGGATTTACCCCTACTTTATCTGCACGATTTTACCCGCATTCTCTCTCATTATCCGCAAAAATCTATCCGCATCCGCGTTTTCTACCATACCCAATATACACTGTGGAAATGATTTAGATAACAGTCTCAGAAACTAGCGGTCTCAAAAACAAAAGGGTCCTAGTGCTATAGATTCTTCATGAAAATATGTGAAAATTTATAGCTTCTTTTAGCGGGCTATATAGGTCAGTGCTCTACACTCAAGTAACTAGTGAGGCCATTTCCATCAATAAAATCATCACCCGTACATGAGCTATACGATTAAATAAATGCTATTGGCTAGCTTAAGACAAGTGCTAAAATGTGATTGGCTGACATAATAAACAAGCGGTGACTGTTCAAATTCGTTAAAATTTTCCGTGACGTCCGTGCGTCCGTCCTCTTATAGATCATGGCTCTCGACCAATGAAATCGCTTAAATTCTTGTATATAGACCATAGTCATAGACTATGCAAATGAAAAGGTATATAAACTAGTGACCGTGTCCGTGTCGTGAATCTAGTACCTATATGCTGATACAGAGTGCAATTTGCAATAAAATGTATTTAAAATACAATTTAATACAGGGGTCCATCGGACTACGTTCGACATACAAAATATCTCTAGAGTTGTCCGGAGTCCCCCCGATAATTCCGTCTGAACTCCCCCCTCTATTATTTATTTCCAGACATGCGTGCGAACATATAAGCTGGACAGCATCAACTATTAATTTTTCATACAAAGTGGAGTTTGTCATTATCCTGACACCCCGCTATCTGTACCTATTCCTTTAGATTATTCATTAATAAAACAGTTTTCTGTCTCCAAATTCACTATTTCTCTTTTTTAAAAACTTTAAAAAACGAAATTTTCGCAAGCCCAACCGGTGCGGGGGTTTTTGAGCAATTTCAGATTACAATTTACAAATTAATCTAATTAATCTCCCTAATTTTCCTGTTGAGATTATATCTCTATGTTTAAAGCTCCAGATGGTTGAACATCACTCGTCAGTATAGAAAGGAAACAATCAACAATGCCTCTAACTTTTCGCTGTCTACTTTATACACAAATATACAGATAAGACTCTTATTTAACTGTGAAATATCGATACCATATTTTCCAACACAGTTAGTAAATAAACGCAGCGATTGTAAACTTAACCAGAGCCAGAGGTTAGGGCTGTTTACATGATCCCGCGTTTGCCGTTTGGCCTAATCGTTTGGCCAGTTCAGCTTCGACTTCAGCTCCGGCCCAAATAAGCAAAATGGATGTCGATAATCCGCAATGCCCGCGCCAGTTACGCGCCCCATTGTTTTCTAGTCTGATGGTAATACATGTTTTTATGGCCCTACGCAGTTGACTCACCTAATTCAGCGAAACTGACACCGATGAACAGTGATTCACTTGACTCACTTGATAACACAACCAATATATATATATGTATATCTAATTCACATCGACTTACTTTCTGTACTTTTTCACACTTATTTATCGGTCAGTCCGGATCAAAATTATATCATTCATCTTTGTTTTCAGACCTTAGTGCTAGAAGTAAAGGTGTCATATTACATGAAGTCTAGAAAAAAGCTTACCTATTTCAAATATTGCCAGCTTCTTGATCGTTGACCATTTATTTTTCAATAAACACGAGAAATTTATTACTTTTATTTTTCCGTTTCAAAATTAGCAATTCGACCTTAAGCTCTAAATATAAAAATTGTAATATTTTCAGTATACAGTTGAATGTATTTCCTGTGTTACTGATAACGAGCATATAATGAATAATATAAGCATTAATTAAGAAGAATGTTGTCCTTCGTGTAATGAAAACGAGATTAATTAAACAGACAAGGTAATAACTGCTGGCCATAGCAACCAGGAACGTGTTGAAACGTGTGAAGTATTTCAAAATAGGAAATTAAACTGTATAATTATTTTGTACAATTGCACTCGACATTGTAAGTTCTAAGGACAATTACGACACAACTATCATTCCTATTTTTAATACGGTTTTGTATGTTTGGCGCCATTTGGTATCACATAATAGTGATAATACATACGAAGAACCACATAAGTAAAGTGCAATGAGGATAGCAAAGGATGAAAAAGTCCTTGAATTACATTGAAAATTTGGTGTGATTATAATTCGAGCTTTTCTGAGATTTGAAATTAAATTAGAATTTGTAATTTAAATGTTTGCATATTCAATTCTCTGAAGCATAATTTGTCACACAGGCATTGTCATTGAAATCATGAAATGTTATCGCAGTTTTATGTACACAGGTGCCTGTTCGTAAAACGTAGCGATGATTGCGGGTTGAATAGGTAGGTCTAGTCTGGGTACGAGGTAGGTCTAGTCTGGGTACGAGGTAGGTCTAGTCTGGGTACGAGGTAGGTTTAGTGCATGCATACCGTTTATTTTTTTCGTGTTACATAGAGAATATAATCCATGGTTGCGCGGAAATATGAATTTATTTCCAGCGATGAGAACTTTTTTTTATTATAAATCTGTTTTTATTAAAAATTTTAATTCCGAGGGCGCATATACCCTGCTTCCTGATTGGTTGATCAAACACGATAATCGCACATGTGTTATTATCGCTTTTTACCATTGCGGATTCGCCAATAAAACACTGCATATTATATAATAAATATTAATATTAAACCTGGTCTTTCGGTTGATATTTTACCTAACACAATATCAGATATCAGACAAACTATGGCAAGACCTGAACACGTAGCAAGGACCTGGCAAGCAACTCTGGATTGAGGGTGCCATGTGATTTTGACCAACTTACATAATGAAGAGACCATTGTTTTGGGGCCAACATTTTTGGCAAAAGTTTTTCTTGCTGACTCGTACAACTTTACTTCTTATGCCAGTATACTCAATAACATTTTTTAATACTGTTATCAAAATTATATTGGTGTGTAAAGTTGGTTAGTATTGAGTGAGGTGCATGTTTGTGAGGCACCACACAACCCCCTCCTGGTCACTATGCTCTTAATTGTAGATTCTCTTTTGTGACTGTTTTTGACCTATCTAATCTTATGTTTGCAGCATAAATGATGAAGTAATTTAGTAAAATTTTCACTTTTGTGATTATTCACCTTGCGGTTGATAACACCAGATGCTGCTCTACCTTGTCGCTGTGGAGTTCAGTTTGTTCATTATTCTGTTGTTTGGTCTTCCCGAGACTTCCTTGTATGTTGCTTTACAGTAGCTCCACTGTGAGAATAAGAGATTTCCTTGTGTGCAGCTTTTCCAAAGTTGCTTGCATTTATGTTCCCTATCACCAAGACTGCCTATTCTTAGTTATGCCTGCTGATGAATTGTTGTGTTTCAGCATAAGTGTCACTGGAACCTTTTCCTGAAGTTACACCAATGGCACCCATGGTACCTTGGTTGTATCAGGCTATCAGCAAAGCGTGGTAGTTTTCTGTGATGAGTTTGGTTTTCCTTCTACAGCCCTCTTGCTTGGCTTCCTCTTTGGAAGGTCTAATGCCTTCCACTTCAAGCATCTGAAATGCATTTGATGTGACAGGAATATGAAGAATATATTATAGAACCATGATTTGAATTTTGAAGCAATTTTGACTATGCAACACATCATCATACTTTTAAACACATTACATTTCTATCGCCAGAATTCAACATTATTTTGTTCTATGAAATATTAAAAAATTACAATTTTTACAAGTCTCACTTTAATACCCAAATCTTCACCTTAATTCACCCTCCATAATCCAGTCTTTCATTTTAAAGCCCACTGCCATTTAAAAATCTGTAAATATCGTCAAAATCAGCATGTGAAACTGCAGCTCTTTCCATAGGGACCATACCAAATACCTTTGGCTTTGTTGACTTGTGAATTCAAAGGAATTTTCAATGCATGGTTTTGTGTGTACGATACTTGACTCAACTCGCCGAATCGTTGAATTTAATCGTTTTTTATCAAGTTCAATGTTATAATCTCTATTTCTAGGCTGTAACATGATGTAATTCAATATATTGCAGCTACTTTGAGACTTTCATCATCGCATATCTCGAATTTGCACGACTGCTAGCGCCCCCGGCCACCGCCATTTTGAATTTAGCCGCGCAGGGGTTGGGAAGAGCATTCGGATGGATTAATTAAGGTGGTAGTGAGCCGATAAAATTTTTTTATGGTCGAGCATATTATATTTCGGTATATTCGACCATGGTGGAGGATACCATATTTCGGTATATTCTACAATGGTCAAGTATACCATATTTCGGTATATTCGACGATGGTCGAGTACACCATATTTCGGTATATTCGACCATAGTCGAGTATGTTATATTTCGGTATATTCGACCAAGGTCGTATGTACCATGTTTCGCTATATTCGATCATGGTCAAGTATACCGTATTTCGCTATATCCAAAAATATATTTTATTTTTAAATAAAAATATGATTCTAAAAAACTTGAAACTTTAATTAAAGTGTCAAGAAAAGCCTGGCTTGCGAGGTTGCGGTTAAAATATGCCATTCATTCTGACCAACATTTTTTATCGGCATCGTATTTACTCATTTTTACTCCATTTGGTATTGAAACGGGTCATTATGGGCCTGTTTACGTAGGGAGAGTTATATATATCCTGGCTAGCCGGGGTGAAAACAAATGAAATATAATGAAAATATAATGCTTTTTACTCGGGATAACTCGCTCCATGTAAACAGGCCCTAAATAGTTAAAGGCCTGATCTTTCCGAATGTGAAACAATTTCACTCAAAGACTTAGTAGTTCATGAATCAGCAATGGCGACGTGTTGAAGTTGGATACACCTTCAGAAGGGCCAATTGGATCGCAACCTGTTCCGCCTTTTATCAGTTCTGGCCACAATTTATTTTATTTCTCCAATTTTTATCGAAAAAGCTTAATAAGAGTGCAAAAACATTTTTCAGTTTTTATTTACAATTATTTGTTATCAAGGCATAATGTTTATTTTCTAATATGAAATCAGAGATACCACAACACAATGTCCTTAACTTTTAATTCTTCGGGTCTCTGAAGCTAAAGAGATCGGTTAATCTGGTACATACAATTAAGGATTTCAGTTGGTTTAGCATTGTTTCAGGAAACACATCAATAATGATGAAATAAAAGTACATCAATAACATTTAATTTCCTAAAATTTGTCTGGTAACTATATACAACATTTATGATGAATTAGTGCCATTTTTTATACTACATTACAACTGCATTTTTCAAATCAGACACACTGACCTCATTTGAAAAAGCTTTTTAAAAATGGTCATATAAGTGAAATTTACTGTCTTCATTTGGCGTGGTCTGGCTCGCTCGCTATTTCTACAAAATACCACAGGTAAATTTGTTTATCTGCGAAAATAACACTTCAGTTTGGAGAAGTAACTTGCTAGTCTTGTACAAATACTTTTAATGCCATCGTTGGCAGTTCGCTCTTTCGAGCATACAGCATGCGCGGATGATTTGAGAGGATAATGTGAGGCTATCTATTGATGTTGTTTTTCACAGCTTGTCCATTAACATATCCCACTTCATCTCTCTAGGAAATTGTAATGTAAACTTGTTATAGGTCAGATGTTAACTGCATACAAGATGGGATCTTTGTTGAAATAAAATTGTTGTTCAGTGTTGTACACATGGTTTTATGTTTCTTGACGCTAAAGTCGATTTAACTGTCCTATATTTGTCCCAGTTATTCAAATCATCGAACACCGTAGGAACGTATTTTAAAGGGATCCTTTCTGGTAAAATAGGTCATTTACATACCGCGCAACAGCATTTGAATTTTGTTACTATCCACAAGGTAACGGCAATGATTACAACCAGAGTAAATAATGCGAATATCACGCATAACGCTATCAGAACTTTTCTATCGACGATTTCTTGAACACGGGTCGAGGGGGCATCCCTGAAGTGGGAAAATAAAACATAAGAATCGTAAATGCAAAACGAAAAATGTTGCACTCTAGACTTTAATACTGAAGCTTTAACAATACCATTTTAAAGGTTTGATTAGTTCAAACAGCATATATGTGGATTTTAGGTAACTTACTGTTGTTGTTGTTCAGAGGGTGTACTAAGTCCGCCTCCAGACCATACTATATGTCTAAAAGTCGCAACAAAAAATGATATAACTATGGTTATCTCTTTTAACGCTGTCTTGCAAGTGGTGCGTCGAGGAAGGAGCAATCTTTTCAGATGTACAGTAAATATAATTTGGGTTCTATTAGGATAGTCGCGATCTCCGGTTATCAAATGAAATGGACAAGCATTGAGTATAAAATGCGAACAGGTTACATGTTACGTGAGTGATATAAGTTAAATAAAATTTCTTTCACTCACCCAGTTAATTGCAATCCATCTTTAGGGGTATATGAACCAACTTTGACCCAACTTTCGCCCTGTATTATTAAGACGAATAATAAATTATAAGTTCGACGAACAACAACAACGACAATGTACTACACCAAAAACAAGAAAATTGTGCTCATCTGAAAATCTAACAAGTCTTTTAATGCAGACTATCCAATAGCGATAATCAACGGCGGAACAGTTCAAGATAATTTTTACAAGCATAACAGTGAGTATGTCTGAAGTGGACGAAGCTGCTGTTATATCAAAACCCTTCGATATCAATTTTACCAAAAAATTATTTAAGTATTCGTACGTTTAAATTAACGACATCATAAACAGGCACGCCATCTTGTTTCTCGGAGAAATACTGTTTTGATCCTGTAGCGCTGTCAAATCCATTTTTCTCGTTTTTCATTTTCCGTAATTCATCCAGCAGATGTCTCCTGAGGACTTTCCGGTCGGTTTTCTGAACATGTAATCAGGAACACTTTCATTAAAATGTGAAAACGGTGAAGATGTGCAACGAAATGTGCAACGAAATGTGCAACGAAAGTTTATGCAAATATCTATCTTGTCATATCATGGCCGTCCTACCTCGTTGATTAGATCCACTTCGTAAAGTCTTTGTAACGCGGTTGCATACGCCAAAACTGCATCAAATACTTGAGGAACATAAGCAGAAACCTAATGAGAAAATATCATCAAAATATATCAGCACTTGCAAATGCGCTGAGCTATCAGGTGAGCTGAGCGTCACTCGTGGCTATTGGCGTAAGTTGTTTCCTGTGTCATATTCGGGCGTGCTATAAGCGCTGGATATTTAACAAGTTGAATAACTTCGTGCACGAGTGAACATTTCCTCACAGTGCGCGCGGTTATCAGCTCAGTTATCAATGTGAACGCGTTCTTTTCACGTTTACTGAGGTCAAGAAGGCGGATGCCGATGAAAATCTATATTGATGCTCGCTGGAGGATAAAGATGACAAAGACGTTTTGCCTTCTATCACTGCATGAGACAAATACGAAGACGCTTGAGAGACGCTGAACGACAGACATGCGCAAAGTCTTGGGTTTCAGACTAACCTGTTCTATCCTAGAAGTATGGATAATTCCTGGAAAGTCATTACGTTCACTGTTTTTCCATTCCTTCAAGAATTTCTCGTACACTGATCCTTTGCCACCACGTGGCCGCGTTCCCACCATGCCTTGCATGGCGCTCTGAAGGTTGGGGGATCGTTTGAAGGTGGATGAAGTTGATCCATCAGTACCCAACCAAGTCCAACCTTTACCTGTCATACCCTGAACAATGTGAGAATCATCTTTAGTCTTAAGCAGAATTTTATAAGTTTATAGCACTACTTGTATACTGACAATACTGATCATTGAAATGTTTTCCCCCCTAGAGGACTGTTACGGATTTTAAACGTTCTTCATATAGATACCTACCATATCGATTGCCGTCTGGAAAATTTTTTCCGCATCATCTGTACGCGAGACGACAAGATTCACAGCCATCTTGCTGTCTTTTATCTAAAATTAGGACAGAAGTTGGTCGTATGAGGTTTGGAGGCTTATTATCATTGTTCCGCGTAGGGGAATGGTGCGAGGGGCATATCTCAAAGTGATCAAGTCAGAGGGGCAATAATTACAGTTAAAACAAGAGATATGAAAAATCTTCTCTTTAGAGGGCTTCCGGATAAAAGTTTGTGTCTAAGGGCGACTAATTATTGCCCCGTTTAAACTACACTCAATTTATTGGCACGCCACGGCTAAAATGGGTTATTATATTAATGTTCAGGCGAACAAAACAAAGGCCGAGAACGGATAAAATGGGCACGGGTACCCATTTTAGCTGTGTCGTGCCAATAAATCGAGTGTAGTGTAAACGGGGCTTATGTAACACCCTACCACCTATCAATAGCAGGACCAAGGTAACAAAATCTCACCGTACCTTCCTTAAATGTCCCGCAATCTCCCTAAACTTCCTCGGTGTCATGCGCTCTTGCGCAGCTAAATTGATGCCGTCGTTCTGGAGCTCTTTTTCCGTTCGACGGATCAACTCCTTACTATATTCATCTTTTACGGAAATCGTTCCCAGTGCTTTCCACTCATGATGCGTGACCAGTTTACCCAGTGCCTTGGCTTGATGAACATCGGACGGACAGGTGCGGAAAAAATATGGATACTTGGTTTTATCTGAGAGAAATGGTGATGTCGAAGCGTATGATATTTGTGGAATGGCGCTATGGTTCGTTTGTTTTGAGATGGCTATTGAACACTCTGACCGCGCTTCGCCAATGATCATGTCGACATCATCAGTGAGCATCTGTGGATAGAGAAGGAAATTTTAATACAAGTGCTTGATAGTACATGATATGAGGATGGCAGAGGGGCTGAAAGGGTGGAGGCTTTTAAAAAGTTTCTACTTTTAAAACAGTGGAAGGTTCTCGTTGGTATTTTAGCTTATTCGAGGTGATTTTTTGAGAAATGCATCATTCTCTTTTCAGGAGTTCCGATTTTACCCATCCGGGACCGGGAATACTATCTAAAACTGTGTAACGGGGATTATGAATATTTTGTGCGAACATCATGAAATTAATGAACACTCACAGCAGCTTGTTTACGGCAAGAATCAACGTCCACAGAAGTCTCAATGATGTCATATTCCAAGTGAATATTGTACACAGAATCACTATTGATCGTCTTTACTGCGATTTTAAAAGCTGATTTCTATAAAAACAAAAAAACGATTATCAACATTTCTATGAGAGGTTCATGTTAATGCGCATTCTGTAAAAGGATAGAAGGGTTTTGGTGTTCTGTTTAAACGAAAGACAAACATCTAGACAAGTTAATCACGTAGGGTAATAACCAGGATTCTTAACTAAACCATAACCTAAGGCCCCGTCCACACCATTCAGAAGAATTTGAAAACGCAAGAATATTCTTACGGTTACGCGTATCGTGTAAAAAGTCATCTCTCGATATTCCATTGTTTAAATGACAAATTGAAAGGTATAGTCCATAGTTTTCTATGCTAACTCACCCATTCTTCAGCCAGATCAGCTATGGGCCCAAACAGCTCACTGGTCGGAAAGAACGCCGCAATCTTGTAGGAAGGTTTGACCGGTCCCACTATAGGAATTGTGACACCACCGGAGAAAATAGGATCTCGGAACAGCGATATACTTTTAGTCCGCGGGATATAACTACCAACTGTTTTCCACTGCTTGCCCTGGAGGAAAGAATAAAAAAATTTTTTGAGAAAGATACTATTAATGATCTCAACCAAAGTGCATATATTTTCCTAGGTTGACTCGATAACTATATAAATACATTCTGATGTACATGTCCTTACCACTAAATTGACAACTTCAAACGCTGGTGGACCTCCTTGTTTTTTGTCGAAGAACATAGTATACCCCCCCCACCAATAGCGCTCGTAAAGCCTGCCTCTTTCTTATTGGCCCGTTTCAACTTATCATAGAGTGCTTTGCGTATGTCTATAATCTTAGATTTGCTAGTAATTATTTCCTTTCTGGCCAGTTCAGACAGTTCCAAAGCCATGCCGTGGAAAGCATCGAAGAGATGAGCGAGGTATGTGGTCTTTGAATGACTCTGAAAGTGAAAGATTACAACAAATATGCTCGTTTAGACCTTCGTTAATTGTCGTCGCTAAGCGATTCGTCGCTAATCGACGTCACTTCTTTACTTTACGTGTATATTGATGAAAACGCCGGGATTCAATAATAAATGTTGGGTTTAAACTAGTTAGAATATCAAGAAACTAAACAGTAACGAAAGGTCCTGGGAGGGTTAAAAATCGTTAATTTGCCGACAACTAGTCATCCCCCTCCCAAACCCCCTAGCGACGGCCCTGTTGGTTGCTTATTTGTTTGTTTATTTGTTTACAAGACATTCTCAAGCGTGGACAGGATTCGTTAGGATACGTGTTGAAATTTAAGGATACATACATGTTTCTTTTCATGATAGTGTGATGCCTCGCGTCTTGCCAAAGCCAGCATGAACTGATCAAATAAACGACCTTCACCATCTGAAATATGGTAAATCAATCAGAGTATTAGTATAAAATGTGCATGCGCACTATATATTATTTGATAGAGTTGCTGAAGTACATATTGAATGTTGCATTGGTAAAAGTCTATAACTGATTGCAACATGTGCTTTTTTTACACGTTATTCAGACACAAACGACGTGTGGTTAGAAAACTAAAATGAAAAAACTGCAAAAATTTTGACTTACGACTTGGGTGAATCCCAATCACCCCTTGCATTGCTTCTTGCAAGTTCGTAGCATCATCAAACACAGAAGTGGTTGATTTATCTGAACCAATCCAGATCCATCCTCGTCCAACCATATCTAGTTCCTTCAACTGTTGAAACACAACCTCGGCATCATTTCGTACCATAAATACCAAACCAACATTGCAACCCGCTCGCTTTAACTGTAGTTAAAAAAAGAAACATACAAAACTAGTCATCATGGTAGTAGATTGGTAGTTTTGAATTGTTCCTCTTAGCTTTGCATGGTTATTTTAAGACTCTCTTAGGAAGAATCCTAAAACTATTTTACCAAACTGAAACTGAACTTAATGCAACTGAAACGAGATAATATAACCTTCAGGACATAGCTCCAGCCACCAAAATAAGAGGCACATATATTAATAACTGTTACAAACACACAACTGATTCTTACGAGTTACTCGAGACCATAATTACCTTGGCCACTTTTGGTCTGACAATCCCCGCATGAGCTCTTGTTTGAAACTTTTCAGTTACGGTAACCGAGACATTTGTTTTTGCAAGTTCAGCGAGAACCAGTTCCGTGAGATCTTGACCGTACGCATCGTTGGTGGCGATTGTACAAACCTAAAAGATAGTATACACCAGTGATTTACTGTTGTACATACTTAACCCTTTTCACCATGCAGTACAGTGCTATCCATTACTGTCCATCTTTTTTGAGAAAAATGTTATGAATGGGATCATCAGGGACACTATGTTGTACGCAGGAAATATATCGAGTTAATTTATTCTCACGATAAAAATGCCTGCCAAACATAGCCTACCACCAGTAACATGGAACTTGGATGCACTTCAGAACTGGTACAACTCCTTCAGAACGATTTTCATGGTCGATATTAATCTATTGCACCTTAAATACTTCTTTAAAAAAGTAATACTAGTATGGTATTGTACCTCAAACCAAAATGACTCAATATTGATAAACTTTAATTTACCTTCTTCCACTTATACAGTTTGATGAGGGCCACAATGGCTATAGCTTGATCGACATTGGATGGAGCAGTTCGGAAGAAATATTTGTACGTTGACGACACATCAGAAAGTTTACTAGATGTTGAAGCGTATGAAATTTGTGGGATCATGTTATTGCTTGTTCCTTAATGGAAGAAGAGAAATACCGTGAGTTTCTTTACACAATTAACCCCAATGAACAACTGGTATTCGCAGAACTGCGGTTCGTGCTCTATAATTCTGTGCTTTTGTTCTTGATATACAGACTGAACTTGTCTTCAATAAAACATTTGAAGTGCATACCTAATATATCAGCTGCTTTCATGGAGCAAATCGACCTGTAAGCCCCAATTACCGCCACCACATCAGACTTAGCAAATTTAGATGCGATTTCTTGACATGATTGCGAAGGCTTTTCACCGGAATCATGTTCGATCCCTAAGAAATCCACAGCCAATGATTGATCATTGTTGAACATTTCTAGAGCGGTTTGAAATCCTTCAAGATACTGTTTGCCAAGGTCCGCCAGCCCACTCAATGACGGGTAAAAAGGAGTTATGAAACCAATCTTCAATGTGATTTTTCCAGGTTTACCTGTGGTAAAATACCCCACAGTAAGTAATAGTGACACTACTCTCTAGCTCAAACTAAATTAATTAATTTATATAATATATACTGGTAAGCTTAAGGGGCATTGCATGAGGACAATCGTTTATTGTTTTCCTGCAGTATTTACACGAGTTTCACTGCCAGTGATTCTATTGAAGAAGGCTAACAAGCTGGGGGGGGGGAAATTTCGAAAAAAAGTCGATAAGAAAGTAGATACATAGAAAAGGCTACATATATATGAAAACATATACTCAATAAATGAATTAAATCATTAACATTGCACAATCTTGAATTGTAATTCCACTATCCTATTTAAGGGCTTGAAATCACTTCTCCCAAACTTGACATAGAATTTCAACAATATAGCTAAGTCCCTTCTAGTTCCCCTCAACTCACTCTTAGCTACTTCGTTTTTCCCCATTGGCATTTTTTTGGTCAAGTGGGTTCAATGATGGGTGTAGTCGTGTGGACATAAACCGTCTGCCGCCATCGCTCATCAGTTCTTATCCACACTCATCAACTTTAAGCTGGTTTAGTGTAATCGATGCGCGCGGTGCTATCCTGACGACGTCTGGTTCCAGTTGCAAGCTAGACCACAAGAAACCGTAGTCGGCTAGTCACAACTGACCTTAGTTTGCAATGGAGTTCTTACCCGTATCGCTGGGAGGCTGCATGGTGTCGCCTGGCCATCTTATTTTTCCTGGTAGAAGAGAGAGCCCTGATCGTCTTCTGCTCCAGTAACCAACTTGTTTCCATTCATTATCCTGTAATATAATACGGTCAAGATGTGCTGAATTGTTTCACTGTTACTTGAAACCTTGTATTAATGTTTGTATGGAAAGCAAAAATTAATGGGTAACCTACGAATTTTCTAACACTTCCCAATTGTTTATTTTTAAAAATAAAACCTTTTTTTGGACCCGTAATTAAACGCGAAGTGAAGACAAAGACTGTTTTAAAAGAGAAGCATTTACCACTAAATTCACAATATCGTAATATGGAGGTGCATCTTGATTTTCGTCAAAGTATGAAGGCGGACCTATAAGAATACGAAAGCATTTTTAAGGTTTTTATTGTGATTGAGAAATGAAGCGAGCAAAAATATAGCGCAATCCCAAAACAATAAATCCTACAAGCACATAGGAGAACCAGCCATAACTTTACAACTTTACTACGATACCAACGGCCCCAACGCCCCCCCCCCCCCTTCTCTTTCTACAAAGTGGAGTAAAATCTGCCATACAACCCCCATTTGCTACCCAGGACACAAGTTACTTTCTGGTCACTTTGAAATATTTACCAGTAGCGCTATCAAATCCATCCTGTGCATTAAAGTTCTTCAGTTCATCGAAAACAATGTCACGAAGCCTTGAATTACTCTCCCCCTTTACAGAGAAAATATAGCACATGAGTTATTCTATTAGTTGCATTTGAATAGATACAGCAGATAAATCGATATTTTAAATGTATAAATGTATATCGAGAAAATGGATAAATGTTTATCATCTAATTCATTAAGTAAGTATTAAAAGTGGTAATGACTTCTCACCGGCTGAATAATGCCTCTTCTTGCCAGTTTATCAAATGCTTTGAAATACGCAGAGACAGCATCAAAAACTTGTGGTGCAAATGGCGACATTTTCGGCGTCTGTAAAATAAGGTGAAATAACTTAACTCATCGCTACAAAAAAGATAATTTTAAAGACGCTGTGACTATGATCCTGGAGTTCCTCCCCCCTCTTATTATATCACAAAAAGATCATCTTACATCATATGACCAAATAACCCCGGGGTATTTTCCTTCTTCTTTGTCTGACCATAATACTACGAGATCCACATATTTCGGTCCACCGCCGCTTTTCACGGTCAGCCCGATCAATCCATTCATTGCCTCTCTGAGCGTAGGTTCATTCCTTAAGGAGGCTGCGGAAACTTTATCTGATGCAATCCAAACCCAGCCTTCACCTGTCATGCGCAACTGTCGTATTTGATGAAATGCTGTGAAGGCATCATTTGGTAAGGCACTAATCACGTTAATTCTTGTTTCCCCCTTTTTGATCTAGAACACAGATTGTTCAGAAAATTGTCATTGCCACCAAAATAAAATGACAACCCTTAAAAACCCTGCTATGTCGAAATGCATAACACTCTAAATATTTTTCCCACAAAATTCAAATTTTTTTTTAACTAACAGAAATATGAAAATGCCAACCTTTTTAGTCTAATTTTTTAACCCTAACTTTGTTATATATTTATGCAACTTGGAGATGTTTAAACAAAAATAATATCTTCTTAGTAGACTGTGGTCATGTAAATTCACACGTATCTTTCACAGGCCATACCTCCGGCCTCCCCTACGAAAGGTTCTCAGTACTAAATTAGTATCCTTTGTGGATCAATTTACCACTGAATGTTAATATTTGCAAACCTGTTCAACTTTTGTCTGAACAACTTGTGAGGTATCTCCTCGATTGAACCTTGCTGATTCAAGGACGTTCACATTTCGTTTCTGTACTTCGTTCTGAAAAGCATTGGCAAAATCTTGCCCATCACGGTCTCCAGTAGCGATTGTACTGACCTGAAAAGATGCGTAGAAAAATTGTGTAACAAGTTTAAAAAAAGGAAAGTATTTCTTCTTTCTACTTCACTTTGATAACTTCGGTTAGTTCATACTTCTCAGTGCTTCATGTAAATGAAGTGACTGAGATGAAAAGAACATTTGCAGTACCTTCTTCCACTTATACATTTTAATGATATCAGCCAAAGCTTCTGCTTGATGAATGTCACTCGGGACTGTCCGAAAAAATCTTGGGTAGTTTAATTTATCTGAGAGTTCGACGGCTGTAGATCCATAGGAGATTTGAGTCAATGTTCGTGCTAGGATGACAAAAATTAAGAATTACTAAAAAATACATTCAGTAAGTACCAGCTTATATTTAGGGTATAAGATATTCCCTAGGCCTCTGGGAGGATATCTGAGTCGTGAAACTGTCTAGGTGGACACGTCTGAAAGCTGAATTTTCTCAAGAAAATATATAAATAGGGCTACAATTAACAGAATTCCTCTGTGTTAGTTAAGCTCATTAGTTCTGGTTTAGGAGCCCTCCGGCAAAAGAAAGCTCCAGTCCAGAGTATAACTCCCCTAATTAAGGATAAGTGCAAACAAGCATGAATAAAACGATGTAGTGAATGGATATCAGCTAGAGTATTATTCTGTGATGGACCCAACCATGCATTACTGTATTCCTTCTCAAAGATAGATTGAAAAAGTAAAATCGGTTTCGAACTTTCGAATGACTTACATTTCGTTTTAAAATATTGATTGAGTTCGATCGAGCAGGTTGATCTAAAAGCACCAACAACTCCGACTATCTTAGGGTCCGCAACGAACTGTTTGGCTATTTCTCTGCATTTTAATTTGTCGTTATATCCGCTGTCTTTGACTTGACCTAAAAGCAATAATTATTTTCAGAAGGAAGTTTGAGTAAAGGCAAGCAAAGTACATAAACAAACAGCCAAATAAGTGAGCGAAGAAAAACAATCAAAAGCAAAAATCGACACAGGGAAATAAATTAGTTGAACAAACGAATAAGTAAACAAACAATGAAAAAATAAACAATAAGAAAGAACTATATAAGTGAACTGATTTCAAAAAAAGAAACATATAGTCACAAACAACACTACAGTCATCACTACGTTTATTCGAAGTATAGCTAAACGGTTTAGGCAATATATTTTTGCATTCTTACTAGAAAAATCTGTTTCCAACACGATCTTACTGCCCTGTTTCCTGGCTCGTGCATTTATAACTTCAACTGCCAGTCTAAATACTGAATCCAGTTCACGACCAAGAGTTGCTGTGGCCGCTAATCTGTTGTCCAATGGAGCGACGAATCCCAATTTGATTTTAATTTTATCCGGTACAGTTGAATTGCTGGTATTTCCAAAAACGAATTCTAGAAAAACAACATAAAATCACCACCATCCTTTTATAAAAAACGTTGCGGTCATTGTTGGCCGAAAAATATCAGGAGAAATTTGATGTCGCTATTAAGCAATGGGCATGAACGTCGGTGGGATTAAACAAAAAACCCTTTGCTCAAAACGTCGACGTACATTTTTGTATATTTTTGTACAAATTATTTTCACCCTTCACTCAGTCTCAGGTTTAAATGTATGTGATTAAACCACCACTCTATTTTTAGAATACTATGGTCATCGAGTATTACACAACAGTTGGCCATATTTTATACAGAAGGCGGAATAAATTTAGGGCGTCGAAAGTACTTTGGTTTGTGCGTGACTCGTGATGACTGATTTCTGATGAGGTATCAAGTATCCTTAATAGTCTACAAATAAACTATCGTGTTCAACTACCTGGACGCAATATCGCATATACGAGTAGGTTTTCAAGAGATAGAGAACTCTAACCGTAAAATTGAATAGGGAGAATGTTTTGTTGTAGTCTTTCCCTTTAGCCCTAACCCTTTCCCTCTATTCTATAACATGGGGTCCACGCTGTACAATAAATAGGGAAATCTTTTAGATTCAATATTTTATGCCATGAAAATCAAATAATGGGCTAGGTGCATTTATAACCAGAGGGCATTGCAAGATAAATAGAAAAAAGAAATTTCGGATGGAATTTACGTGCTTTTTGTCAAAATCGGTATACGTCCAGCAAATATGAAAACATTTACAGACAGGTATTTATATTTTAAAAATAGCTGGAGACAAACGTCACTGATTTTAAGTAGATAAAGCAAATTCATGTTTTACAGATTCGACTGAATGTTTGAAAAACAATGAGTTAGGACAGGTACTTTTGAACTGCATACACTGGAACGTTAAAATTTTGCGAATCTTGGAAGGGTTGCAGGATCTGGGAAACACGCGGAGATTATGCTAACAAGCCGTGGACAGCTCGTAATGCGTCAGGTCGAAATAATGGCCGTTTCTATCAGTTAAGATAACCATATGTTGATGACTTTGTGTTTTTTAGCCAATCACATTTGGTCTAAGAAATTCTTTACGCCTTGCGAGGTTAAACAAAGATAGGGTTACCACAAAAATGCCCGCCTAAAATAAGAATTCTTGTTAACACTGTCAAAATAAACTAAGCTATTAAACTTCCACATTTCAATTTAATATAGTTTTAAATGATCAGAATCTATATGTTGTGTTCAATTAGTCGGAGTGGCTTTAGACAATTACCAACGTCTTTATTTTAGGATTAACTAATTCAACTCTTCAACATCTCTTTAAATTATCTCCATGAATATGCCCTATAGCTTGGTTTGATTTACCGAATACCCATCCCAAAATGCGTTTTTGTCATAACTTCACATTCACATTCATAAACTAAAAATTCAAAATATGGAATATCGAAGTGCATGAAAATGTCTTAAAACATATTGAACCAAGCCCCACAGGTGTGTCCGTGTATCAAGATTGAATTTATTACCTGCATCCATATTGTGTGGGTTGAAGTCAAGTAATTTTATATCATTGTTATTGTTAAACTATAAGAAATTTTGATGACTATAAGAAATTTTGACATCGCGTTAATTTTACCTCGGTTGTGGCATAATATCCAGTTTAGTCAACGACTAAACCTATAGAGATCTTATTTTACGGTCTATAGGCGTATTATGCTCTCATATATGTTCGAAAGAAACATAAAGAGTACATTCTATATAACACAAAGGTCGCTCTAAAAACATCTCGCAATTATCAAATTGACAGTACTAACAAGGTTTGACAGCTCGTGTATTTTTGGTGGTGAACTGACTGAACTCTTTATCGCGCATGTTCAAAGAACACACAATTCATCGGTAATTATCTTAGTTTAAACTAGCAGCTTTTAAACTATTCGGGAAAATATATCAACGATAATGACTTGAAGTATTCAATAAAAATTTCACAATAGTCAATAATCAATATATACGAAATGACTGCTAAGACAACAAAGATTTCTACTTGAATTAATGACGTTAACAATCAAGTTTTGTTATGGTTATACAAGAAGTGAGAAGCTTCGATGAAATAAATAACAGGAAACAAGTAGACAAAATTCATATAATACAAAATGGTTGGAAGAATATCAAGCATGCATGCGTGCATGATCACAGGGTTTTTTGCTTGCTGATGTTTAACAAGAAGATATAAAACAAACAAAACTTGCTGATATAACACCATATCATATGGATTTAATGGTCTTAAACCACACCGTCTAGCTATATTTGAAAGTATGGTATGTGACTTCATGCCTAAAACAATCTATGACAACGAACATCAAAGACAAAGAACTATAAATTACCCTCCAGTTTATCGGGTGGTATTCTCTAGCGCGATTATATGCAGCTGGAAAGAAAATAGGATTATTGCGTGGGCAAGGTGCCAGATTTCCTTCTTACACCTGTATTGCCTCATTTGGGAGGCTAATTAAAAAGTAGGCAAATTTATCGTTTTTATGTATACGATTTTTCTCACTGCCTATATAACACACATACGATATACAACTATAGTCAAAATACGGAAACATATATTAAGTGTACTTAAAACTTTCACAGTAGACAAACAAGGTACTAAATATCTGTTTTAATTCATCTTAATTCTTCCTTTTCTTAACAACACTCGAATGTCCTGACGGATTAAACTTTAATCCAGGCCATGGGTGTATACTCTATCTAATGCTATCGATTTGTGGCCCAATATACTATTTGTAAGTTGTTCGTGATTTCTCTTTGAACTTTTCATTGTCGGTTAAACATCAATAGCAACTTTCCCGAAGGACAAATTTCCACTTTGAAACACCTTGCCTCTGCTTCTAATCACGCTAACAGAATGGAATGCGTCTTCGTCGAATGTTAAATATTTTGATACAAGTTTCAACAATTATAAAGTGAACCTTTTGAATAGTTGAAAACAAATAATTTCACCCCAAATACACTAGTCCACTGTTCAACGATATAAAAATGTTATAAAAGTGAAGTTGTTAAATAGAAACTGTGAAGTTTAAAGAAAGCGTAATATGAATACGCAATATGATTACTCCCTATCAAAGAATCAAAGACTGAATTTTGAAGTCTACAAAACAAGTTTTATCTATGTTGCCACATAAAACCTTTTGGTACATTGACGGCCAAGAGGTATATGAATAACAGTTGTATTGAATCAACCACATCTCAAACTGCATTGTCAAAGATCTCACACGCGCCCACAGGCGACACTTATAGCTAATAGCTAATAAAAAATACACATAGTCTCTTTTAATTCTACTCTATACCTTTTGAAATAACTTGGTGATCAAAAGAATAAGTCAAGTGAAATGCTTTCATGATATTATTATACTAATTAAAAACATTTGTCAGTTGTGGGAAAATTTACAAAAAAATGTCTTTAGATATTGAACGAAATGAGCTGTAAATTGAAATATATTATCAAATGTTTAACGCTTCCAATATGGCACTTTCTTCAAATAATCTCCAGCAATTATAGTTAAGAAAATCAATAATATTTTTTCGCGTTCCTTGCTATCCGGTATTAGGAAACGCCCGACTGTCGATGTTTTCAATATTTCAATGGTGCACAGATGTTGAACGCAACATCAAATTATTATTCTGTTTTTGATTTTTTTTTAGTTTACGCATTTTATTTTAAACGCTGCGTTCTTCCGCGCGCGCTCTGCGCTAAACAGAGTCACAACTAGGGGTAACGAGTGCGAAATTTATCAAATTAGTGGAACGACAGCTTTTTGATTTATGGCTTTCGGGGCTCGAATGTCACGGAGATCAGACACAGTGGGTATATAAACGATACAAATTAAACTCATTTATAAATATACACACGTGAAATTTCACGCACAATACTCTACTAGCAAGTATAGAAGCACAAGTTTGCCAGTTTCGATGGAAAATATAACCGCAAAAGAACTAAACTGAAGCGGATTTGCCCATTTCTGTCAAGAGCACATTGTCACTTTGGACAGGATTCAAATTCATTTGAAATCACAAATTAGAGCTATAAGGTGTAGGATACATACAGTACAATTGTACATAATTTTAAGTTAGAGAATCTCAAGAGAAATCATAAATTTCTCCAGAGTAATCTGCTTTTGGTTTCACATTTAATTGATATCCTCTCTTGTCTTGGGCAGTTATTAAATACCTATATATATAATACTACAAATTCTCCACGAACAACAAAGAAGATCTGTATTTATTTGGTTTGAAAATGATTTTGGATTTGCTGGTCAAGCATTAAATTCAAAAGAATTATAAATCACACAAGCAATTAAGAAACATTGGCTGGAAAATTTGCCCAACAAAAGTAAAATATCAGGTTAACATACATCAATTGCGGTTGTGTTTCATTTTTGTGCTCTTCAACTCATTAATACCTTGCAGCTTTGTTTGAAGTGATATAAAGCGGACTGTTCAATTAAACTTCAGCTAGCTTTTCTAATGTTAGTTAGAGCTATTAAAACAGGGTACCTTTAAAGTTTACGTATGTATTTTAAGATAACTGAGATCTATCGCAGCACTAAATTTTAAAACTATCGAAGTACTGCATCATCGCTATTATCTTAAACTGCTTCAAAGGCTTTTGTCGAGTATTTCAGCTATAAACGCAGTATTCAGACGTTTGTCTGGCAAACTAGCGAAAGCCTTTCAACAAGAACAAGCTAACAATGATAAACTGCCCGGCGTTTATCATATTTTGACGTTTCAATCGTTGTGGGGTTAAATAAAAGAAGCTTGAAAGTCAAGCAAGCTTTGTGATAGGACGAGAATGATTCCGTTTTAATCAGAAACGTCGCAAAGTTTGACAAATGGCGCTTAGCGTGGCGAGAGCTATTACGGGTAACAAATGGGTTTGGGAAATCTTATACAGCGCTATTAATCAACGGAGAGACTGGCTTACCTGTGAAACATACAATGTACAAAATTAAACCATAAATTTGTTTGTATTCCATGGTCAGTGGGAATATAAAGTATGTCCAAAACTCCACTTTTCTTGGTAGAACATGAGTGGTTAGTCCAACAAAGGTCTGAATGCGGCAAGTGTTTTGAACTAATATACTAGGCAAGATAAGAGAGTAATGGTCGGTATCCTGTAGGGGTCCTCCTGTTGCTTGACAGTTAGCGTCAAATCGTGACACCCAAGTGTCATTTTTAATTGCTATTTTGATATATCAGGAAGCGGCACGAATTCCAGCTTCAAGCACGAATATAGAACCTTCCTAAACATCAGCGCCTTTTCCAACCATAGCGCGCAAAATTGTATCGGTTTTGGATTATTTGAACAGCATAATTAACATAAAATGCGCGGCCGTCCTGAATTTAATTCTTTCTTTTATATACAAAAGTGACAACAACATATGGGCATAGATTGATGATGGTGGGTGTAGCATGCTAACCCAAGCCAAGATCTAATGAAAAATATGTGATGGGGTCAATTTACCGCGATTGCTAGGAAATAAGCCAATCAGAGAACGAGAAAACGTAACCTCGCAGACATTTGGTCTGTTATTTGTTTCAATGAAGTTTTGAATATAGCACACAAAGAATGATACCTTGTTAGTCAAATCAGGGAAAAGTTAGACATAATAGAATAGGCAAAACATTAGAATAGAAGTCAACCCTGGAACGGCGGGAAAAGGCTCTTCAGTTATATCCTGAGCGGATAATAATCATAATAGCCTGAGAAAGCAAAGTCTGGCATCATAAAGTATTCACCTAATTCAATTACATGTCACTTAAAGCTTTAGATTTTTATGTGGTCTCACAAAGGTGTCAAGTGTTTTTCTTACTTACCCGTTTCAATTCAATAGTTTGTACAAATACACACGCGCTTGTATAACTGTTTTCCCTATCTTCCCTTTACAACGTTTTATTTCAAATAAATCTGCAACAATGATAAAATTTCATACTTGTTAAAACCTCAGTAAATTTGCTTTCAGGCAATGTTGGATTCAAGTTTCCCTTGCCACGTCTTATAAGCTGTACGCGATTTCGCACGTGGATAACACGTAGAATATGGTCCGGGAGCCATTAACGATACAATAGCCGATATAGTAATCTGTATTTGTATTCAGTTTTCAACCTTAAATATATTTAGATTTGATCATTGTTAAAGACACTTATATTCCCAGCAATAGCTACAAACAGTGATGTCACTTACACAGTTACATTACACTATCTTTTTACGGCAGCGACTAATTCACGTCGAAAACTGCAAGTATAGGAAATACTACGGGAAAATTGTTTACCCTACGGCAACACTTCAGAACGATTTGCGCTATATAAAGCTATAGTCCCTGTGATCGGATTTGCGGAAAGTACAACTTCCTTTTCCAAGTATACACATATAACTATTATTACGTGTATTAGCCCGTTCGTGTCTGCAGAATGCTTTTAAACTTTGAATGTTTCAGATAAATTTTAAACTTTAAATGCATGTTTTTCTTAGCCATTAAGTTTTTGTTCTCTTCCAGTTTTTTTTAATCTTTAGCTTGTCGAGGGCCTAGTTATAGCTACAACTACAGTATTATAATATATACCTTGAGATAACTATCATAATGTTGAATTGTAAAAATAATTGTCGCCGGCATTTGTATTTTGTAAAAATAATGTTTCATGAGACAAAGTGTTAAAAATAAAAAACGTCCCTGACTGAGCACAAGTCTTAATCCAGGTGCTTTTTGCAAAAGGGCTCCCCGCGGATGAGTTTAAATTGTATTTACCGTTGCATTTACAAGTTTCAGAAAACTTGTCCTAAACTATTGACATAATATTCTTCTTCGGTTTATGAAGTAATAAAGCCAATGGCAATGGAACTTAAAGACAAAGTTTCGAAAGCAGTTAAACCAATTATTCAAATAACCGGAAAGTCCACTTCGAAACTCAGGAAGGGAGCTTTCGTGAGGCAGACCTAAGCAGACAAACTGGCTCTGCAAGTTAATAATTTTATCCGTGTCTTGCGACGTTTACAAGACCCACGTGTGCGACGTATGCCTGCTGTATGCTAAGATTAAGCTTTTATGACTTGTTTTTGGTCAAATGTATTCACTTTAAAGACAGACATGTGATCTTGATTGCTCGTTCTCGTGTTGTGATAACTTTGAACGCATGTCCTGCGACATATGGTGTAGGCATGGAGTTCGTGCTCTCGCGTGTCCGTTTTTCAATCGCGTGTAACCGGAACTAGGCGATTCCAAGGATTGGATTATTCGTGTTCTTAGGGAGAAACTGGTTCGATTCCTAATATGTCACATAAACTGCCATCACTTGTCGTACACGTCACGGCAGAAGGGCGGTGGGTGACGAATTAGGCCATTACAGAGCAAGGAGAGAGAGAGTGGTGTGGAGTGCGACTGGGTGGTGTGTTGACTGTTGAACGAAAAAATCTCAACTTGTGACAGTCGAGAATGTCACTATATTAACTATATATAGTAAGAAACTTTCTTTCCGTATCACGCCGGTAGTCAAATGACCTCTACAAATTTTTTCCTTAAATAAATATCAAGAGCGCAGCTCCTTCTTCAAGCACCGACATGAATCCGTTTCTGTATGATCGCGCAGGTGAACACGTTGTTCTCCAAAAGAAATCCGCACCAAAGTTTACAAAACCGATAAACTAATTCAAAAACAGAACTGATAAATTTAATTGTTCCAATATTAATCAATATCAATAAACATAAGAAAGACATTGAATCGAAAACAAATACACTTAAACAAAAAATTCAACGTAAACAAAATAATAACAAAAATATATCTAAACATAAAAGCTATAAATAAAAATTAAAAAAGTTTTAAGTGTTTCTGAAAAGCAGTTCACATTTTTACTAAACTCTACTTGATATTACCTTACTCATAATATTAGAAATTATAAGACAAGACACAAAAACATCAGTAAAAACGACAACTCGCAGTCAATGAAATATAAACCCCGCATTTAGTTTTATCAAATGCATTCCTTACTCCAACTTTTTACTAATAACCCACTCATTACCGGACCTACACCGCTAGTAAAGTTCGAGATAAAGTTTTTGATCATTTAAAATCTCATATCACCATCGACAATTTTTCCATGAATTTCCGCAGTCAAGACACAATACTCACCTAACTTCGAGTCAAGAAAGAACAACTTATCCTTAACAATAGAAAAATCAAATCCTTCTTTTCGAAATCTTGTTTTCTGGAACTTAAATGTTCCTGTGGTATCCACAACATTTGTAACTCTAAGGAATACTGGTCGAGCATAAGAGGGTAACACCTCCGGTAGCTTACTAGAGATATACTTCACGTCTATGACGTCATCAGGATCTTCGATCGCAGCCATTCCTGCGCGGCCTTCGCATCCGGGAATCTGAACGCCGTACACCACCACAGAATTCAAATCTAAGGCATTCGCCATTACTCCCTCGACCTCAGAGGTTGAGACATTTTCGCCACGCCATCGGAAAGTGTCGCCAAGACGATCGCGAAAAAAGAGATAACCGAGTTCGTCCCAGTAAAGTGCGTCCCCGCTGAGGAACCATTCGTCTCCTTTTTTCAATAAATCGTGGCCGACTTTCTTCTGAGTAGCTTGCTTGTTCACGTAACCATCGAAACGACTGAGTACGTCACCTTAAATTTAACAAACAAGTATTCACAATATGAACCCTTAAAGGACATTGGCAACGAAAATTTTTATTTGCCAAATCTGTTGAAATCATCTAGGAAATACTTAATTTAATGTTTTTGTGTGTCTATCGTATTTGGTTCTTGAGAAAATTTCCAAAAATGTTCATCGGTGGTCCGCCATTTTGAAAATCGAGCCTTATGCTAATTTATGCTAGCATACATTTGTGACGTCATTTGATGGGTTCGGGAAATATGATTATATAAACTATTGTTGTATTCTCATATGGCAACTTGAAAAACTTGGTAAAATAGAGTATAGAGGGGGGACAGAATCAAATACCTATGCAAAATTAATGCATCAACATTGCGGGGACATGTTTTTCAAAATATTTGGAAGAGAACATTGAATATGAACTATGTACACACATATTTACACATGCAGTGCACGTCGACACACAACAGGACGTTACGGTGACAACACAACACAACTAATAACCAATCTCCCAAAGTTTAGAATTTTACCTATATTTAGATTTATACTAAAGCTAAGGCGCGCATATTTTCCCCTGCTAACAATTTTACTATATTTTAGTATAAACAAGACGCCTTTTCTGGCGTTAACTCCGGCGTGCCGCGCACGTGCTAGTCTTCAATATAAAGGCTCTGAACATAAACAATACTATGGAATGCCATAGCTGTCTTACGTGGTATACATTGATCATATGCCGTGCAATTGACATTATACGCGGTGCATTTCTCTTTATATGCCGTGCAATTGACATTATATGCGGTGCATTTTATACAGTTCATATTCATTTAGATGCCTTGCAAACCTAAATGTTGTTCGATCGCGAAATTCAGAAGCTCATTGTACTTTAAAAAGTATAGAAGTTTAATTGTTCAAAAATGTAAATAAACCGCATGATACGTTCACTTTGTCTTACACTTTGGAATTCGTGCTTTATATATTAAATCTTCAATCCCGTGCAAATTAACTGCGACGTGTCAACGCAACCATAAATGATCATATCTTGTTAAACGGCGAAATAGCAGCGATAATATTAAAATAGGACCAGAATCTACATGTATTAAATATATTCTTTCCCCAATTAAATCTAAACTTAATCGAACAGCATCAAACGCACGGTTTATTTGTTCCTTTTAGAGGAATTGCCGTATCATGTGAGAGAAATCAAATGAACATGTCATACGACACGACAAAATATTATTTGAGTGACCACACGACGAAGCGCGAGTTTGCGAAATGTTCGTATTCGTCGTACTCTAGTGCTTTTTCATAGCAGCAATAACATTCTACAGCCCTTGTTAATAATGCGCAATGTCCACATTTACACCAAGTAAGTTTTTCAAGGCGCCCGGCATTCGCTCTTTCGAACTCGCGATCGAAATCTTCGTCAGAGGAAGATGGATCTCTACCGTTTTCGGCATCGCTATCGTTAGATATATATCACAAGATTTTCCCTGCACCTCTGGCTCATATTGGTAGGGCAACACTTCCTCTAACTGCATGGTTTTCGTTAATATGTTCCATGACAATCATAAAAAAACTACAACTCCCTTTTTAAAGCAAAAAATCTCGATAAACACAGTAAACACGCTAGTAAAATATATTGATGTGTTTAGGGAACCCATCAAATGACGTCACTTCCGCCAAATATAATTTTTTCAAAAATTGATCCAATATGGCGGACGAGGTCCAAATTTTGGCTGAATTGTGGTGAAAATAACTCATAAACGAAACATTTTTGGAACAAATTAACACCATATCTATGATTAGACGGTTGAACACTTTAAAAATAGCGAATAAAAATTTTCGTTGCCAATGTCCTTTAAATATTGAACACGCTAGAAGAAGTCTTACACCTTTGCATACTTGCTTTTACTTGAATTTAACTCACGTTTACTAATTCTACCAGCAACCTGTCCAACTTCTCCAGGATTACAAGGAACAGCCAAGCCGTCCGAGTTTCGAGCCAGTTCTCCGGACAACGGATCGATCTTAAACATCTTCATTGGCGACAATGACGACGCAATTATGGGCAGAAACCCAATGGCACCAGGATAGCCGTTCACATTCGCCAAAGTAATATTACCTTCGGTTGCTCCGTAAAACTCATTAATAGAAGGAATATTAAATCTTGTTTTAAATTCATTCCAAATTTGAGGACGAAGACCGTTGCCAGTCATAAAACGTAGCTTGTGTTTTTTATCGCTTTCCTTTGGTGGTTGAGCCAGTATGTAACGACAAAGTTCACCAATGTATATTGCACCCTAACACGGCAAACAATAAATAGAACTCTATCAATTCTGAATTTTTCTCCATACAAAATAGATTGCAACCTTTGATATTGCTGCAGGCCTTTTGTAAGCGACATTTTATAGCCAGAGTACTTAATGGAAATCCTGATCTCGGTTGACAGGGCAAATACTGTAGTCACGAAAGCTCTGATATTTATGTGCTTTTATCCGAACATCCGAAACTTATTTACTCGTTCACATACATCAAAAGAAGAAAACCACACTTAGTTCAGTTACTTTCTTGCGTACCTACTAATGGTGGAGCTTATAGTTTAATTTTGTTGAAATTGGACTTTAAATTTCGCCGGCATACTAATCTTTAAATGAGCAGAATTTTAAAATTCAAATGTTAAAACAATGCAATGTAACATACGATCTGTAACATCAAATGCAAGGCGCTTGCATATATGATCGCATGTGCTATTTAACAGTTATTCTGCGAACTCGAGTCGTATATGAGCTGATAGGCTCATATGATCGGCCATTTTGTTTACTTTCTCTACTAGATAGATATGAGCAAATATCTGTCTAGTAGCCAACCAATGAAATTGCAGCATACCTCATATCTGGCGCTTGTATATATATATATAAGCGCCCTGATCAAATGCCATCTTCGAACATTTGAAAAGAAACACGATGTCCTTCGTACGTATTTTTCACCTACCGTCGCTTTGTACTTGATGCATTCATCCCAGAAACGACTTGCTGAGAATTTTCGTCGTACCACTAGCGTAGCACCATTCGAGATCACAGTACTGACGCACAAAACACCAGCAGACGTGTGGTACAGCGGTAGTACACAATAGATTACATCATCAGGAATTATCTCGACTAGTTCGCAAAATCCGGTAGATATACTCAAAAACCTTAAAAAATTGATAATTCAATTAGGGAAAAATCTGCATAGGAGAGGAAGTTGCCTTGGTGAAGAAAAAGGAAATATTACCAATTACCATACCAGGTAACGTGGTGCAGCCAATTAGTTAACCGGTTTGATTTTTGATAGAACTTCACAACAAGACCCATTATAACACCATTCTATGACTATGAATCTCAGCACATATTTTTATCCAGTCAAAAATATTATGTTAAATAAGAAAATTAATGTACAATAATAATAACAATAATAACAATAAAATAATGTATAATTATACATTACTACATATTGACAAATTACCGAAAAATTTCTCGCGCAATTTTCAGGGCCGCCTATGTTCTCACTTCTCAGTTCTCAGGCACAAATGAAAGATGGATTACACGTACATATATATGGGTACATATATAATACGATACTGACCTACTGTGTTTTATGATGGAGGCTTTAGGCAGTCCTGTCGTCCCTGACGTGTAGATGTAGAATAATACATCTTGAAAAAGAAAAAGATGATTAGCAGCTGTCAAACAATTTTCAGTCATATCCTGTCACGCTTTAAAACAATCTTTGAAATTTTCAATCCCTTGATCATGAAACAACAAATCCTAAATCGAGATAATAAATAGACCTTAGAGGCCTATTTCAACCTACATTGCATGTATACCTCAGGGGGGGGGGTATCAGGGGCGGTAATCAACATTTTGGCTGACTGTTGCGATATTTTAACTACGTAACTCCATATTTCCATAATTCCATATAATCGCTCTACTAAGGTCTAACATACCATATTCCAGTATTTTGGAACCTTACGAATGATCAAGATCGTACCATGGTCGAACATACCATATTCTGGTATATTGGACGTCAGGAGGGCCCAAGGTCGAACATACCATAATCCGGTATTTTGGACGACAATGATACTGGAATATTCGACCTTCACTACGTTTTTATCTTGCCAGTCTTTTTTGTAACTTCTTAACCATATTATATTTAATGTATTCAATTGGTTTCCATCAACCGGTTTACTCAGTTGAGTATAGCATACATCGGCATCTTTGCCAAGATGTTTGCAGGAAATTTATGCATCAGTCAAATTAGTCTGGTGCAAATTCAAGTCAACTGAGCCTGAGACATATTCTCAAATAAGCAACCATACGCACAAACATATTGGGGAATATATGTTGTAATTGGCTCCCTACCATCAAATTTTTTCTCGTGAAGTAATGGTGGTGGATTTTCTGAACATTCCTTGAACTTCTCCAAGATATTTTCTGATTTGAGGCTGCTTGAAATGCCCCCAACATCAAATTCATATAATTCCACATTTGGCGAAATATCTGTTACAGCATCTAACGAAGCAAATTGGTTAGCAGATAAAATGCTAAATGACCAAATATACTTTGTTTTGAATGGTACTTCAGCGAATATCAATTTTGTGTTTAGTTGTGAATATCAATTAATGGTAATTTACATAGTGATAGTACATATGATTGCAACTGTGTGCATGACACACTGGCAATGTTTAGTTCAACTCTAATTTATATATATATATATATATATATATATATAATTATATATATATATATATATATACTTATTCATTTGAAAAAATTGTAATGAAAAAATAAAATAAATGCTCTTAAATAAATACAAAACTTTCTTGTATTGAGCATTTCCGTTTTTGAAGACGAGAATATTACATTATAATTTATATAGGATGATCGAATGATGCTTATTACATGTATAAAAACGATTATACACAATTTAAATAAAAAGTAAAATTAATAATTCTTACCAACAATAACAGGATCATTTGAATAGATTAACCCCTTAGCATTTACAATCGATATAGAATGACTAAGTGACTCCTTTCTTAGGTTATAATTAACAAGAGCTGAAATAACACCAATTTTTGCCAAGCCAAGCCAAAAGAAAACCAACTCTGGTCGATTCTCCATAAAGAGTGCAACAACATCTCCTTTCTTATATCCAATACTTTGAAAATAATTTGCAACTTTGTTGGAGAAATATTCAACTTCTTGAAATGTCCAATACTTGTCCTCAAACACAAATGCAACTTTATCCCTGTGCCTTCCTGCTGTCATTTGAAAAATGTCACATATGGTGTTGTTGTTACGTGCATGCCGCCGAACGCTTGATATACGTTTGAAAAGAATAATACCACCTCTATAAATTGATTAGAAAACAGACATCTGAATGTTGTAATAGTTCTTTATCATAGCAAAAATGTATTTCCCTAGAAAGCCTTGCTAAATTCACATTAATTTCTGAACATCTTCTGCATGGGATTTTCAGTTAACCTTGAGATGGGGGGTGGATAAAAAACTATATATAGTAGAGTTGTGAATCAGACAATGTTTTTCAAAACAATAGAGCCATTTTTGTTCAACCTTTTTGCTTCTTAGTTTTGATAAAATCAGATTTTCACTTGCAACTTCTGCTTTACATAATATATTTGTTTGATCCAATGCCCAACCTAGAAGCCCTAAAAAGGTCATCACCTGATAACCCCCTTGCCCCTGACAAAAGTGTATTATATCAGAACATTTTTGATTATATTAATCCTTGTGTACCTGTCATGCATAGTGTATTAGTGTTTTGTATGGTATAAACTTATATACTTGGCAATGAAGCAGTTTAAATTATTAGGTTGTGTTCAATATACCATTGTTTAGGTGTACAGGGCTACATATAAGAACCTCATCATGATCATGTTATAATATTCATACATCAGGATTCACCGCCATCTAAACCGCGGCAAAGCTTAACAAGTGCAATAAATTACAGAAACAACGCCTTTTTAACTTTTTATTCTCACACAGTGATGATAACCACCACCATTCCTTAGCAAACAGTCTAACATATCTGTCCGCATATCCAAATGCCAGTAACTTGACCCTATACACTTTACAATTAACGTCCCATAGTTATTCAAACGAACCTCACACAAACCTGAGATCACGAGGAAAAGTTAACCACAACAAACGCACTAATCTCCAGCCACCAGAAACAAGGTAGAGACCAAACGTAATACTACACGCCTGCAACCAGGTGAGCTTTAACCATTTAACTTGTACTGCTAGTAATGCTAGGCCGACAGCAAGTCGATAGGCCATTTTGTTTGAACGAAAATGGCGCAAAAATCGAACAGAAATCGAAGGCTTTCGTAGGCTCCAAATTGTCATTAATTGAAATTACGTGTCTTCTGTTCCAAAGTTCAACCGGAGCAGACCTGCAGAGCAACTCAAACTATTATTATTGTAACTGCGCTCAAACCAGCCTCGTTCCCAGGCGCTTTAAATAAAATTTAGGAACACCACAGGCTTTTACATAGTTCAGTGGCTTTTACCATAGTTATTTTACATAGATCATATTCATATATATATATATATATATACATATATATATATATATATACATATATATATATATATATATATATATATATATATATATATATATATATGAATATGAATATATATATATATATATATATATATATATATATATATATATATATATATATATATATATTCATTGAATCTTCATGCCATTTTTGTATATTCGTCCATTATTCGGACACGACGTGCTGTTAAACGAGCAATAATGAAACTCGTAGTTTTTCTTTGCATAAAAGTTTAGAAAGATGCAAAATGATGCAAAAATATGCTTTTACTCCAATTCTTGATTATATAGTGTTAAAAGAAGAACTAGATAGTAGATATGGCTACAGTGCACTCTAAAATTAGAAGTGCTATAGACGAAATGCCAGAAAAATAACATTGTTTAAACTAAAACGTTATATTTATCCTACATTAAATTTCAATATTTGCGATATTTACGTAAAGGCGAAGAATAACGAAAAAAATATTTTGTGTCCGAAAACTGGACGATATACTGTAGTCAAATGACCTTAACAAAATTTTTACAATAGCGACAAACTTATTCAAACACAGAAGTGACAAAAGAACCTATAAATTTACATGTTATTATTCTAATATGAATCAATATCAATGATTAAAAACGAATATTCTACAAACAAAATAAAGAACATAGCTAATATATGAAAAATATAACATAACCTGAGTCATGGGTAAAAAATAATTATAAACAGTTACAGTTTTATTAAGTGTTTCGACATATACGAGGTATCCCAAAAAACGGAATTAATTAATTGGCAATTCAAACTTTGTGTTTTGAAGTAGATCCCAACAAGGAAAGCTCTTTCGGCTGTAGTTAAAGTACCATGACGTTATACGAGTTAGGTCTGCATTTGTAGTTGGTTTCTGAACACCACGGGACATAAAAAAAAGTTCTTTCACGGTGCAAATAATCTTATAAATAGATTTCTTGCCTGAAATACTTAAGAAACGTATCGTTGAAAAGACAAATGAGCAGGCTTTAATGAGACAATTCTCGATTAATTTGATCACGTTTTCATTTAGCGTTTATATTTTTGTGGATATCCTGTGTTACCTACATATGTATATATTACTTTCGAGATATATTACCTCACTCATAACGTTTAAAATTATGAGACATTGAAAGCATGAAAGCTCGCAACTAATTATGGACACACTAATTTTTTTAAATGTATTCCTTACTCCAACTTTTTACTTATATTTATATAATTACCGGACCTACACCGCCAGTAAAGTTCGAGATAATGTTTTTGATCATTTAAAATCTCATATCACCATCGACAATTTTTCCATGAATTTCCGCAGTCAAAACACAATACTCACCTAACTTCGAGTCAAGAAAGAACAACTTATCCTTAACAATAGAAAAATCAAATCCTTCTTTTCGAAATCTTGTTTTCTGGAACTTAAATGTTCCTGTGGTATCCACAACATTTGTAACTCTAAGGAATACTGGTCGAGCATACGAGGGCAACACCTCCGGTAGCTTACTAGAGATAAACTTCACATCTATGACGTCATCAGGATCTTCGATCGCAGCCATTCCTGCGCGGCCTTCACATCCGGGAATCTGGACGCCGTACACTACAACAGAATTCAAACCTAAGGCATTCGCCATTACTCCCTCGACCTCAGAGGTTGAGACATTTTCGCCACGCCATCGGAAAGTGTCGCCAAGACGATCATGAAAGAAGAGATAACCGAGCTCGTCCCAGTAAAGTACGTCACCGCTGAGGAACCATTCGTCTCCTTTTTTCAATAAATCGTGCGCAATTTTCTTCTGAGTAGCTTGCTTGTTCACGTAACCATCGAAACGACTGAGTACTTTACCTTAAATTAAACAAACAGATATTCACAATATGAACCCTTAAAACACGCTAGGGCTTTGCTAGATTGCCTTTCAAGATGAACTTAAGGAGGAAAAGATTAGAAAGAAAGATACTCTAAAGACAATTTTCTACCTTTAAAAGACTACTAAAAAACAACTCATTTAATATTCCCACGGTTAGAGTCTAAACTCCTTGTACTGGCATCAACATGAACCATCTTTAATTGTGTAATGTTATATGACAAAAAAAATCTTTCGAGCCTTAACTCACGGTTATTAATTCTACCAGCAATTTGCCCAACTTCTCCAGGATTACAAGGAATAGCCAAGCCGTCCGAGTTTCGAGCCAGTTCACCAGACAACGGATCGATCTTAAACAACCTCGTAGCCGTAGGCGACAATGACGACGCAATTACGGGCAAAGATCCAATGGCGCCAGGATAGCCGTCCACATTCCGCGAACTAACATTACTTTCAGTTGCGCCGTAAAATTCAAAAATAAAAGGAATATTAAATCTTGTTTTAAATTGGTTCCAAATTTGTGGACGAAGACCGTTTCCAGTCATGAGACGTAGCTTGTGTTTTTTGTCGCTTTCCTTTGGTGGTTGAGCCAGTATGTAACGACAAAGCTCACCAATGTATATCGCAATCTAACACCGCAAAAAAATGAATACAACTCTATCAATTCTGAATTTTTCTCCATATAAAATAACCTACAGCCTTTGATATTGCTGCAGGCCTTTTGTAAGCGACATTTTATAGCCAGAGCACTCAATGGAAATCCAGAGTATAAGTCTGTAAGAGAATTCTTTCTAAGGAGACAGCCTGGTGTCATATAAATCTTAAATTCGCATAACGATTTCGGATTTGCCACTGAATTTTTACCCAAAATAAACAGCAAGGCGGTCGCTCTACACAATTCGTAGGCTACTGGCTACAAACTAACGTGTTTACACTACCTAGCTCTAAACTGTTCGTTAAATGTGGAGGCAATGCTTAAATGGCCCAGTATTTTGAAAAAGGGGATGTGACAAATTCTAAACCCAGAAGCTGCAGTAAAAACCAGATAGGAACCGAAATTATGCTTTCAGAATTCTATGTAAAACTCTCCGTAAAAACTAACCTGGCAAAAAAACACTTTAAAAATACGTACAAAATATTGCAATTGTGAAATGCTCTTTAGTGATAGAGAGGCCTGTGGAGGAGGCTACTTTAGTGAGTAATTCGATCTTTTAAACTAGTTTAATTCAAGTTGATGATGCTCAGAGTTGAAAAAATTTGTTATAGCTACAAGCGGGATTTTTAATTTCATAAACTTTCAGTTATAAAGGAAGAATAGAACCTACATAGCCTTGCACACCAATTTCTAGTAGTCAGTTAACAATAATAGATAATAATACCGCTAGTTGGCGGCTTGTAACATTAAATGGAACAGTGGACTGGCTATAGGTCGCATGATATAAATGATCAATTCATAAGTTTTCAAAACACGATATTATTCATACGTATTTTTCACCTACCGTCGCTTTGTACTCAATACATTCATCCCAGAAACGACTTGCTGAGAGCTTTCGTCGTACCACCAGCGTAGCACCATTCGAGATCACAGCACCGACGCCAACAACGCCAGCAGATGTGTGGTACAGCGGTAGAACACAATATATGACATCATTAGGAATTATCTGAAGTAATGTGGTCAAAGCGGTAGTTATACGCAAAAACCTTAAAAAAATTATAATTCCATTTAGGGTTTGTGAAATGGACCTCGTTTTACTTTGTTTAGGGAAAATTTTAAACGAGTTATAGAAGGTTGTATTGCCCATATAAAAAGAAATATTACCATACCATGGGGCCGGTTGTTCAAAAGCCGGTTAGCTAAACCTTGGGTTCAAGCAAATCTTTACATTAACTATTTTAATCGCTTGTTTGCAAAGTTAAAGACAGCTTACAGCCACTTCTGCGCATCGGTTCTGCTCATAACAATGGGGAAATTCAATTTTTAGAAACTGCTCAATTTTCGCATGTTTTGAATTTCTTTAACCATATTAAAACCAGTGATTAAAACTCTATCTCTTATTCATTTAGAAATATACTGAAATAGTATAATAAATATTCCGACAGGTCAGGATATTTTAAAATTGATATAGCGAAATGTAAACAAAATGTTTGATAATAAAATTTCTCAAATATAGGCCATGTTACACAGTGCAATCCTTCGTGCAACTTGCAATGCAATTCTTATTTTGAGAGATGTAAATTTGGCATCTACCGAACTTTTGTCTTTATCACACTCCACTGTTCACTAATTTAATGGGTTCAAGCCACCCCTCCCTAACCGATTGGACAATCGGGTAAGTAAGGTGGACGTCTGGACGAAGGTGTTAACATCTCTTAAAAGTAGAATTGCATTGCAAGTTTCAAAAAAAATAGCACCCTGTAACATGGCATTATTTTCTGGACCAATGGAAGTAATATTTTCTAAAGTTTTAAAACGAACAGTGGTTTAAAAGCACATAAACTCAAAGAATGGATTAAAATTTAACACAGGGTTAGCGCTAACCTAGCTTAGTTTAAACAAAGTGGCCTCAGCTAGAAGCTCTATATATTACACCCAACTAACATGTTACATACTTAGCGCCAATCAACTGATGAAAACGGGTGAACGATTCGGGCTATGTTATCGTAAAAGTTTTCACTGTATTGACCATAGTTATTAGTATACATACCTACATACTTAATACATATACTTATAGCCAAGTTGCGTAACCTAGATCTCCCAAACTGGCAAACAGCGTGATCGATGAATTGGATAATTGATTTTTTGACACATAAATATTATATAATAATATAAGTCATGTCCTGGTCTTCTGGGAATAGAGTTCAGTTCAAATGTTGAATGCGGAATCAGGATTAGTGTAAATAATTCAGAATATCCTTTTCTAACCAGCCTCGTGAGTTTTATCCTATGGTGGTTAATGGTAAAGAGATGGAAGTAGTTGACACCGCTTATCTTTCAGCTCTTACCGGTCGGTTAACCAAACCCTCATATAGATAAGGTTATATAGAGAAGTGAAAAACTTTTCTAGTTCAACTAAAGCGAGCAAAGTTATTTACAGGAGATTTGGCATTATTCTATTGCGGGGTCGATTGTCCATAGACCATACGATGCGCGTACTACCATCATATAGTCCGCATGATAATTTAAAATTGTGATACTTGATTGAATAAAAGCAATAACGCATAATATTACTGAGGTTTTGATTGGCATATTCACAGTGACGCCGATTTCTAGAATCGGCATTCAGATTTGGACCTTCCCAGAATTTGCCCCCTCGCTGGCGGCGCCACTGCATATATATTCACTTAGATTCTACCGTTCACGGATTTACGTTTTCAAATCGTACCTACTGTGTTTTATGATGGAGGCTTTAGGCAGTCCTGTTGTTCCAGACGTGTAAATATACAATACGACATCTTGAAAAAGACAACAAATATAATCAGTTGGCAGTTGTTGACTATTGTAGTATATATGTTTTAAAATAATTGCTCAGAACAAGTGAATTTTAGGTACCTAAATTAATTTTCTTATCTAATATTTGATTTATTGCTAATATTAAATTCTTTGTTCCCTACCATCAAATTTTTTCTCATCAAGTAATGGTGGTGGATTTTTTGAACATTCTTTGAACTCTTCCAAGATATTTTTTGATTTGAGGCTGCTTGAAATGCCCCCAACATCAAATTCATATAATTCCACATTTGGTGAAATATCTGTTACAGCATCTAACAAAGTAAATTAAGTAGTGCAAAGTTTGGTTACAAAAAAATGATATGATATATGACATCTATTTCATTTATTTATACATGATTTGAACAAAAAGTAAAATTAACAATTCTTACCAACTATAATAAGGTCATTTGAGTAAATTAACCCCTTTGCATTTACAATCGATATAGAATGACTAAGTGACTCCTTTCTTAGGTTATAATTAACAAGAGCTGAAATAACACCAATTTTTGCCAAGCCAAGCCAAAAGAAAACCAACTCTGGTCGATTCTCCATAAAGAGTGCAACAACATCTCCTTTCTTATATCCAATACTTTGAAAATAATTTGCAACTTTGTTGGAGAAATATTCAACTTCTTGAAATGTCCAATACTTGTCCTCAAACACAAATGCAACTTTATCTCTGTGCTTTTCTGCTGTCATTTGAAAAATATCACATACTGTGTTGTTGCTATGTGAATACTGCCGAATCTTTGATGCAACTTTCCATTGAAAAATAGCACCCCTGAAAATTAAACAGAAAAATATTCAATCTACATGTTTATATTAGCAATTCTTCTAAAAAGCACCTACTGAGATTAAAAAAATTACAAAGTTTGGTGGAGAAATTTTTTTTACGATATATTGCAAAGAGATTGTCACCATGTTTGGTCTGAAAACAGTAACACACAATAAAAAATATAAATTTCAATCAACCTGAATGTTTTTCAAAATGACAATTAAGTGCTGTCTTCTGTGTGGAAATTGAATTTAGTTTGACCCCCCATAGACAAATGAGGTGGGGCTGGGATATAAATTTAGCCATTTTTTAAGCAGTTTGCTCTTTGGTTGGTAACATCAAATTTTCAACTGCAACTTTTGCTCTGCACAAGATTTTTTAGTTAGTTTGATCCAATAGCTAATCTAGCCCATATTACATCCTCATAATTATGCAATTTCTGCTGTGATTTTACGTGCGATTTTCGTCTTTTGATAGATGTGAACGAGTGAATTTGTTACTGATGTTCAGAAAAGAGCTCTTATACATCAGAGCATTCGTAACTAATTACTCGTTTACTTCTATCAAAAGAAGAAGATCGCAGCAAAAATCGCAAGTGTGAACGGGCTAAGACGTATGCGTCTGCATCACTGATCTGCTCATACGAATTTTCCGGGTTTTCTACCAGTATCGATCCACTGGTATCCACACACTGATTAAATGTTTATATAATGATACACTTTACCACAAACGCCAAACAAACCTGAGATCACGAGGAAACGTTAACCATAGCAAACGCACAAATCTCCAGCCACCAGAAACAAGGTAGAGACAAAACGTAATACTACACGCCAGCAGCCAAGTAAATTTTAGCCATGCAACTTGTACTGCTAGTAATGCTAGGCCGACAGCAAGTCGATAGGCCATTTTATTTGAACAAAAATAGCGCAAAATTCGAACAGAACTTGGAGACTTTCAAAGGCTTTAAATCCAAATTAAAGTACGTGCCGAGTGTTCCACCAGCGTGCAGCCATTGCAAAGGGATAAAGAGATTAGCTAGGGTTGTGACCAATCACATGTCGTCGGAAGCGTTAAAATACCACGTGCAAAGACGCAAAATACCAGGCTTTAATATGTGTTGTTGTGCGGTTTACGATCAATTTTTTATGTTCAAGCTATCGAAACTGAGCCACATCAAATATCAGAACCATATAATTTATTATAATATAATCTTATGACGAAAATAAGTGCCCAGCCCAGCATAGTATCATGTTGAAAATTTTCATCACAAGTTTACCAACATGACCAAGAACCAATTAGCTACAAGAACAGTGTTGTTGCATGTGGCGTTTTGATCGCAATGTCAAGCTAGGTTATACTTCTTGTTCATGTCACTGACGACTGTCAGCCTGTCAGGGCAAAGATTAAATCTTGCACGAAAAAACCTATTTTTTGTCAAAAGAGCTAGGAAAGTATACCTTTAGGAATTATACACTCATGCAGGTATTCAAACTAGTCAAGTCCAGAATTATTAACAGTTGTTCAAAGACAAAATTATACTCAAAGTCAAAGCAATGGGCAAACTTGGCCACGCCGTGGTTTCTGCCCTAATACTTCAATCGCTTAGCGTCAAATCCAGCACAAAAGATAAACGCTGTTTTGCATTACCACCGATGGTACTGTAGGTTTAAAACCCTAATTTTATGGTTATTACGGTTATTGCATGACGTTTATTTCCGTTCTATTACTTCCTGCGACTGCACGTGCAGCTGCACCCGCCACCCAGTTTAGTGTTTCATTGTGTATCATTGTCAACTAGTGTAAGGTCACTCTATTCTACAATTGGATATTTACATCTACGTTATTATCCGCGCACGTGTTATTCTACCATCGTGGTCTAGTGTGGTCGAATTTAGTGGAGTTCAATTTATGGCGTTAACGGCACACCAAAGCAGCGTAGCTCTTAGAGGAATTTGGGAGTTACAGGTACTATATGTGGTTTTGTAGTATGGAGGCCCGCAAGATTGTAAGATCAGTTTCATACCAGTCATCACGCTTGGCCAATTTTGGTTGCCGTCATGTAGGTAATGAAAACCTTCAAAGTTCCTTACAATCTGTACTAAATTCAGCTGCATCTATGCAGGATTTTGTCATCCAGGTATCGGGTAGAATTTTTTTTGTATGCTGGCAGAACTTTGGCAAGTAATCCCCTCGGATATTGCCATGTCCGCGAAGGTACAAAAGAACAGAACGATTACATTTGTACAGGTAAAGACTGTCGAGGATTTGCGGCAAAGCCAAAAGGCAAGCAAGTCAAACGCAAATCAATGCGTATACACATAGCTTTGCTACGGTCATGCTTTGTCACTACCAGTTCAGCTCATGTGGGAACCAGTAACGACGTCATCTCTCCTGCTGGTGAATCATCAAAAGGATCTATGGTTGGATCAATATATGACGCAGCTGACGAAACGAACAAACGTAGTTCTACACTGACTTTGGCAGAAAAGCTAAAAGTCCTCCCATATCTTCTACCTAATGAGCTGTTGCATGTAGTCGATAGCGAAGAGAGATGCCAGTGCATTACTTGATGTTGGCGAAGGTTATCAAACCCGATTTTGGCCGCTTTTCCGTGTTTGGATGGAAACCATTAGGTAATTGTATACTCTTACACAAGTTTATTTCAGAAGGAAAGGTTGATATGGTTGTAGTCTGAATACGACGCAACGTTTATCAAGGTTTTCAGTTTATTTAATGCAGTATATAACATAAGGTTTCTATAATAAGATTTATTGAGTCTGATATATGTTTTAGTTTCCTTGAAAACTGCTTTGTAAGTATTTCGTATCATTGCAGCAATATACTTTTGTGTGGCGTGTGAGCATTTTAGTTGGTAACTGTTTATGTCATGGTTTTGATCATTTAAAATCTCATATCACCATCGACAATTCTTCTATGAATTTCCGCAGTCAAAACACAATACTCACCTAACTTCGAGTCAAGAAAGAACAACTTATCCCTAACAATAGAAAAATCAAATCCTTCTTCCCGGAATCTTGTTTTCTAGAACTTAAATGTTCCTGTGATATCCACCACATTTGTAACTCTAAGGAATACTGGTCGAGCATAAGAGGGCAACACCTCCGGTAGCTTACTAGAGATATACTTCACGTCTATGACGCCATCAGGATCTTCGATCGCGGCCATTCCTGCGCGGCCTTCACATCCGGGAATCTGGACGCCGTACACCACCACAGAATTCAAACCTAAGGCATTTGCCATTACTCCCTCGACCTCAGAGGTTGAGACATTTTCGCCACGCCATCGGAAAGTGTCGCCAAGGCGATCATGAAAGAAGAGATAACCGAGCTCGTCCCAGTACAGTACGTCACCGCTGAGAAACCATTCGTCTCCTTTTTTCAATAAATCGTGGGCGATTTTATTCTGAGTAGCTTGCTTGTTCACGTAACCATCGTAAGAATTACCTTAAATTTAACAAACAATTATTAAAAATAAGAACTCTTAAATACTGAACACGCTAGGTTATTGCTAGAATGCCTTTCAAGATGAACTTAAAGAGGAAAAGTTACAAAGAAAGACTAATAAATGACAACCTATTGAATATTTCCATGGTTAGAGTCTAAACCTTGTACAAGCACCAATGTAATATGACAAAAGAAAAGCTTTCGAGCCTTAACTCACGGTTATTGATTAGACCAGCAACTTGCCCAACTTCTCCAGGATTACAAGGAATAGCCAAGCCGTCCGAGTTTCGAGCCAGTTCACCAGACAACGGATCGATCTTAAACAACCTCTTAGCCGTAGGCGACAATGGCGACGCAATTACGGGCAAAGATCCAATGGCACCAGGATAGCCATCCAGATTTGCAAAATTAACATTACTTTCAGTTGCGCCGTAAAATTCAGAAATTAAAGGAATATTGAATCTTGTTTTAAATTGGTTCCAAATTTGTGGACGAAGACCGTTTCCAGTCATGAGACGTAGCTTGTGTTTTTTGTCGCTTTCCTTTGGTGGTTGAGCCAGTATGTATCGACAAAGCTCACCAATGTATATCGCAATCTAACACCGCAAAAAATGAATACAACCAATTTTTACCCTATTTATACAGCAAGGCCAAGGGCAAGGCAGTCGCTCTACACAATTCGTAGCGGCTACAAACTAACTTTTTTACACTAGCCAGCTCTAAACTAGCTGTTCGTTAAAAAGACGAAAAAAAAATTGCAAGTGCATGTAAAATGCTCTTTTAATAGTTAGTAAAGTAAGGCAATCTTTGTTGATGATGCTCAAAGTTAAAAAAATGGTCACTTAGGAGCCATGATTCTTTCAACACCCTTGTCGATTTACTGCATCCAATGATTTACTGGCATAGTGTATTTTTGTTGAAAGTGAAATTGGAATTTTTGCTGTCATAAATATTTATTATACAAGATATAATCGCATGATATAGAATTTCTTTTGGAAAGAAAAACGTCGATTCGTAGTTCGTACGTATTTTTCACCTACCGTCGCTTTGTACTCAATACATTCATCCCAGAAACGACTTGCTGAGAACTTTCGTCGTACCACCAGCGTAGCACCATTCGAGATCACAGCACCGACGCCAATAATGCCAGCAGATGTGTGGTACAGCGGTAGAACACAATATATGACATCATTAGAAATTATCTCAAGAAATGTGCTCATAGCGGTAGCTACACGCAAAAACCTTTAAAAAATCATAATTTCATTTAGTGGTTAGCGAAATAGACCTCGTTTTACTTTGTATAGAAGGTTGTCTTGCCCATGTAAAAAGAAATATTACCATACCATGCATGGGGCCGGTTGTTCAAAAGACTCTCAAAAGCTAAACCTTGGGTTAAAGCAAATCTTTACATTAATTATTTTAAACACTTGTTTACAAAGTTAAATATCTTTTTTCGTAAATACTCTCTGGACCGATGGAAGTAATGTTTTCGTAAGTTTTAAAATGAACAGTGGTTCAGAAGCACATAAACTAAAACTCTGGGGCCCGTTGCTCAAAGCTAGGTTATCGCTAACCCTGGGTTAAATTTTAATCAAGCGTTTTAGTTTATGTGCTTTTGAACCACTGTTTGTTTTAAAACTTTACAAAATATTACTTCTATCGGTCCAGAAAATATTTATGAAAAAAGATATTCAACTTTGTAAACAAGCGATTAAAAATATTAACGTAAAGATTTGCTTTAACCCAGGGTTAAGCTTATCGGCTTTTGAACAATCGGCCGCAGATTTAAAACTTTAACCCAGGGTTAACGCTAACCTAGCTTTGACACTAGTTGACACCGTATCTTTTAGCTCTTACCGGTCGGTAAACCTAGAACCTCATATAGATAAGGTTATATAGTGAAGCCTGGTAAAAAACTTTATTTTTTAGTCCAATTAAAGCGAGCAAAGTTATTTACAAGAAATTTGGCATAATTGTATTATAGGTGGATTGTGCATACCATGCGTACTACCATCAGAGTCAGCATGATAATTTAGAATTGTGATATACAAATGACGTTTTGTCGTGGTTTTTTTGTCTTTTGTATTGTCTATGATAAAAGCAATAACGTGTAGCGTAGATTTGAAAAAATAACATTTGCATAATCTCGTAAGTTATGTGACATAGTGGATGACGTAATTTGGACTAATTCTAGCAGCGCTAGAACGCAGCTACAAGAAATTCATATATAAGCTTAAGGTGGCTCCCTACAGTTTTGATTATGCAGCGTACAATTGTATTCAAAAGACGATTATTTTGTCATCTTCCAAGGTATGATCACGAAACTCGGCCACATAATTGCTGCAACATCGCGCTTATAAAAAATAAAAAATGTCGTTAAATATCCTCGTTGCCATGTACAAGCGTTTTTTTTATCCTCAAAAAGCCCTGTAGAAATAAATAATTTTTTAAAAAATATTCGGCTCGAACGATTTTCTGAACATGTACATTTTACGCGCTTCGAGATTACAGGAAAGAGTGTGAAGTTTAACGAAGGCCCTCCCGTG